GAATTTTAAAGGCTTTGATTTCATTGATAAAATTTTTACAGAGCATCCTTACAGACCTCTGCAGCATAAATTTGTAACATTGACGAAGCAAGGAAGAACTGTAATTGTTTGGCGAGGAAATATCGGAATTCAGATTCGCTTCCACATTTTACTCGATATTCGCCTCCATTGTCGTGTCCCTTGACGTGACCGACATAAAAGTGGCAACCTCGTCTCTTTCCGGTAAACACTGAACAATGAGTGCAACTACCTCGTGCACCCCTGCAACAGAATTTCAGACGAACGCGTCCGCGATCGTAACGATTTCCTGGATTTGCGGCAATTATCGGGCCGCAGATAGGGGGGCATCGATCGTAATTAAATAGACGCAATTTGACGTGCCAGTGCATGGCAGTCGTAGGCGGAGTCCATTCTAAATCCAGGATCGGCTCGGATCGGATGGCTTCAGGCTCGCTTCGGACCGGCGTTATGGAAGCCTCCGATGCGATCCCGGAATGGTTGGATGCGCCTCTGGGTTATCTCGTGCCTATTTGCACGATAGTCCCGTTTCCGATTAATCAGGTCTCTGAAATTAACGCAGCCTCCCGGGACGTGCACTCCGTTACTCTTCGCTCCAAAGTGCTCGGAGCCCCAGTTACGTCATCAACGCATTAGATCGGGGATTATCGACTATCCCTCGACGTGGCCGGTACCAAACCGGACACCGGGCATTTTCTTGCGATCCGCTGCAAATCGATACCCGACGATCGATTCTCTGGATCCAGGCCCAAAAGTCCAATTCCTAAAGAAATAATCCCACAAGTCGTTTGATAGGAGAAACGATCCTTCGACATTTCGAAGAGTGAACCCAGAGATGCTTCACCTGGACTGCAGGACGTATTCAGGGACTTCGATTCCTGGATAAATCCCGGGACACATTGGGTATGTGGGACTGCAGAGCATCGATATTTAGGGGAGTCGGGACGGATTCGCTTTCAGGAGTTCCGGTCCTTAGAGTCGACTCATAATCCTCGAAAGCCGCCTCCGCCCGACCGTGAAACAGACCCGATCGTTTCCCCTCCAGCCAGGAATGAAACGCTGGACGTGTTTCCTCGTAAGCATCCTCGAAGGACCTCCGAGTCCTCTTTAATGGCTCGCTTTGTCTCTCTTCCCGACCGTCCTTCTCGCTCGAAGCTCCCCAGGAGCTCGGCGTCTCGCTTCCTCGTCACTCAGATTTTCATTGGCCGAACCCTCGCCTACCCCTGTGTCTCTCTCTCCTCATACCGATCAATATTCCGTTGTATCGTTGCTTTCGAGTGTCCTCCAGAGACCCGATAATGCCGCCTAACGATAGCGCCGACATTATGCTAATTCAGCGAGTCTTACCGAGCGTCATCGCCGCGTACACCAGGAAGTATCGAGCCTGCACGAAGGCTGATAACCCCCGTGTAAAACTTCCGCCGCCTCGGACTCCGGGACGGACTCGTTGAAAATAAGTGTAAAACACCTGCAGATATACCGGATGAAAGGAACCTCTTCCTTGCGCCTTTAAACAAAACACTAATAATTTTAAGGTCCCAGTCCTCAGGAAGCTGGGCGTTTAAATATTCAATGACGGTCCGCGAAGGTCCTGGAAAGACGGGAGTCCTCCGGCGGAACAAATCCCACGCGGGCCGACTGAAAAGAGCCTCAAATCGTTCGAATGGCCGATCCTACCATTTCCGCTGGCTTTCCTCCTATCCCGGTATTATCATGATGGGAAAAATAAAGCCGGGATCAAGGGTAACCGCACCACCGAACAAAACATTCCGAAGACGTCGGGGGTGCAGTGCATGCCATTACGGGAGAGCACTTTCGTCGGCCCTGCCCGCGATTTGTCTCTCGAGGTCTTAGGGAGTCTTTTTAATTTTTTGGGATATCTTGTCCCGTCGGAATGTCGAACATCTAGGAGGTGGAGTGGGCGCCTCTTCGGGTGGTTCTTCAGGGTCCTCCGCAAGTTTCGCGAGAGGAGCATTAGCGCGCTATCGATTCCTCGGTTACTTCGACAGCGCCCTCCCCTGTTTACCGAAGATTTCGGAATCCGTGCTTACACGCCATAATGGATGTCATTTGGAGGAGCGACTTTCGGGGCGGATCCGAGGGGTGTTTACGCGTGTCGGCAAGATTTTCCATCGCGGGGCTAATAGCCGTGAAGCTCTTGCGGCGTTTCCGGCCCCGTGAATCCGGACGCTCTTTTGGGGTGATTTCAGGGTGGCCTCGAAGTTCGAGCCCGGATCTGGCTCGATCGAACGGCCCGGCGGCCATCAATGATTGTTCCGTCACGCATTCAACTCTGACCTAATGACAACGTATAACCCGTTCGCACGGAGCTCGATCGCCGGTAGCCCGTGGCCGGGATATCCGATTGGTCCGGCCAAATATCGATTGGTCTTCTACTTTTTACCCCGTGGCTCTCTCCCCCTCTTGCATGCTAACTCGCACCGGCCATTATTATTTCAGGTATCGGCCCGACTCGATTCCGCGATGTCGCGAAAATTGTACCAACGCGAGGGGTAGTTTCTCCTAGGTGGAGGACCTCCATGAATCCGGGGGAAATTCGCTAAAGGGACGGCCGACTTATTCTGTTTCCCGTGGCTGGGATATCCGATTGGTCCGGCCGAATATCGATTGGTCTTCCGCTTTTTCCGGCATTCCCTTCCACCCCGTCGACCCGCCCAAAACGGCCATTATTGTTTCGAATATTTCCCGTCGACTCCTTCCGCTCGCCGGGCCAGACCTCGAAAAATCCCTGTCGAAATTCTCGACACCTTCCCACGGAGGAGCGGTCCAGCTCCGTTTTTGACAATGCCAGGGGATGGTGTCGGGGAACTTTATTGCACTTGTCGCGCGATTCCGTCGAGTCGTGAAATTTTCCGGTCGGGCGTCGCACGTCATGCCCAGTTTCCTTGGCCGGTCCAAATGGAAAGGATGGCTCCGGATAATCCATATTGCCTACGAGTTCCGCCCGCAATCCGTGCCATACGGCCCGGGGATATTTCACCATGGGTATGTGCTCCGTGAAATATTCGAAGAACGCCATCGGGGGATGCTTGAGAGATCACCTGGCGATGCCCCTAAAATTCCTATGGAATTTTTATCGGGATCTAATTTGACCTTCCCTGGATGGAGTCCAGGAAGATGTTCGCCTGATCCAGCCACCACCACGGATGGCATGAGATGGGCCGGAGACTCTTCCATTAACTCAGTAAATTTAACTATTTAAGATACCAATTTGTATCTCCGATGGACCCTGGAGGACCAGGACGGAATATGCGAGAAATCGCGTCCATGACTCCCTATATTTTGCAGGCATCTCCACCTGCGTCCACCAGGCGTGGCAGTGCACGACACTGCCATCTGCGACTCTGCATCTGCATACACCCGGGTCTACCCGTGGATTTTCTGTCTACAGGAGAACGCCTCCTGGTGGGTGCTTGCGCGCCCCAATTCCTATGTACACGCGCATGTACGCATACACGCGCAGGCCCGGCTACATACGGCCAAAACTCTATGTAAACTGTACCCCGGGTGTCCCCTGTATTCACACACCGCGTAGTGATTAATTACAGAGCATCATCCTATCACGCCGCGGCTCCCTCGACGTCGCCGTCAACGAAACGCTCGACAAGGTTGGCTTAACGCGATCATCTCGAATCGCCCACGTCCTCGTGTCCTGGGAGGTGAAGATAGTTTCGTCTTCGGCGAGGTCTTCCAGTTCGAAAAATCGAAAAATCTGCGAGACTTTCGCAGTTAGCCCGCCATCAAAGGGAACTCCAATTCCATGCAGCTGCATTAAAATGCATACGCTCTCAAAATGCGAGAGCTGGACATGAGACATCAGGGTCGCGGAGATCGAAAAATCTGCAAGACTTTTCCAGTTAGATCTCCATCAAAGGGACCGAAATTCCATGCAACTGCATTCATGATCGATGAGGAAGCCCGATCGGGGGTCTCCGATCTGCGGCATTGCAGGTGACAATGCATCCCGGAAAACCAGAGCTGGGCGCGACTTCGGTCCCGCACGGCAAGTTCTCCCGCAACAGTATATAACAACGTCATTGTGAAATGTCCCTAACCTCGGTCCGCTGGTTTCGGGTGCACCAGCTGCTATTCAAAGTGCGCCAAAGTAAAGGCGCCAACGATCTCCGCTTTGCCGGACAATACGGCACGTCGGGGTGAACTCGCTCTCCGATGTACCCCGAGTGCACGCCATGTACCGAGAGAACACCCCAGCAACAATATTTACGCGCATGAACAGGGACCAAGCTCCACCGAACACGCTTCAGGACGGGAACTTGAAGCCAAAATGACGGCGACACGCCTACTCGACGTCCTGTGAGAGAAGCCATCGGCACGCGTTCGGGAAACTAGAGCGACGCGAGTCCCCAAAGAGAAACCCGAAGAGGAACCCAAAGAGGTACCCAAAGAGGTGCTCGCAGAGAACCCGAGAAAAATTCCTAAAATTCGGCACCCAAGACCCAGTCACTTGTTCCGCAAAAACGACTTTTGTTTCCACTAACTCGGTTTCGCTCTCAGAAATAAATACCCAATCATCCATCGCATCCCGTGCAGGGAGCCGTCCCTTTCATCGCGTTTCCGCCCCGCGAGTGTCCTTTGAGTGTGTAAAACCAACTTCGCAAACTCCTCTAATAGCCGGCCTCGCTTCGCAGCATCCCTCCGACGATCGGGACATTATTGCAGGATCGAGTTCGCTTTGAGCATTAAATATCTGCCGATCGGCGCTCCAAGAATTGCCGCGACAAATTCGATTCCGCCGTCTCTTCAACGGCGGGAAAACTGGGCCTTCCGGCGATCAGCAATTGACCCGAAAAACGGCCATGACGAGGTTTGAGTTGTCCCCGAATCGTCGTTCGAGGGTCTGGTTCGCTGCCCTCGTTCCATCCGGTTCATGGTTTCGTTTCGGGATTTCGGGTGATACCGAAATATCTAGGTTTTTTAAATTCTTGGTTATGTGATTCCAGGACGAGGAGTGGTACTGGACAGTCAGGGACCGGTCCTGAAGCTGGAGCCCCGCTCCTCCGTGGAGTTCTCCAACGACACCGGGGCGATGATACATTGCGCGGCCTACGGAAGTCCACCTCCCCGTATCGACTGGCTGATGGGTGATGGGTCCCCCGTGGTCCCCATAACGCACATCCGCGAGAGGCTAGAAAATGGGTCCCTCTACTTCCTGCCCTTCAGCGCCGAGAGCTACCGCCAAGACGTCCACTCCGCCGTCTACAGATGTCAAGCCTCGAACAGCGTTGGCACGGTGCTCGGACGCGAAGTCAGCATCAGAGCTGGTGAGCATTTCCAGATTCGTCCCACACCCCCAAACTGTCCTTACAACGACTGATTTTCAACATAAATATAGAACTTCCACGTACAAATCGCCTCCACCTCCACCCGGTAGCCCAGACACTTCATCGGCTCCAAAAACACTCTGCAGGACCTCCGAGCCGAAGCGCATCCTAAATTGCATGGTGCCCAAATCCTTGGAGCATCCCTGGGACATTATCCCATCGCCGGAGCGTTTTTTACGCGCCAACGCTCCCGCCTCGATGCCTTCCGACGTTTAATATATAATGCGTGACTCTTTCAGCTCCGTGTGCGGTGCGCGAGCTTAATTACACTGTCTACGTCCTCGGAAAGGGAGAAGGGAGCGCGCTAACGAGCATTTAAAAAATCCGGAAGAGCGTCGTAATCCTGAAGAGGACGATACCCAGCTCGAGCTCCTACCGTTGTCTCGGCCGCCGAAACCCACGAATCGCGGCTAATAATCGGAGCGACCCACTGAGGCAGGGTCCTAAAATTAAATGCGAAATTACGGGGATGTAATTCGGTTGCAATGCTGACTCCGAGCGAGCTAATTAGGCGAGTCCCGTTGTCGAGACCGGCGTGGGGTATTCCTTTGAATCTCGTTTCACGCCGCGGCGCATAGCGAGGGCTGTGTATATCCTCTTAAGGCGTCAAATGATCGTCTTACAACCCGCTCACGGAGTGACACAAGCTCTATTATCTGCTCTAATAGACATCAAACAAGATACCCTTGAGTTCCCTCAGGCATGCCAACGACGACGTCATTTGAAACCTTGCACATCGTTCTTTAGGGTGGAGCCTCAAAGAGTAACCGCAAGACTTGAAAAAATCCGAATTTCTGACCGGGGAATTCTTTGCCAATTTTTCACAGGTTTTGAAAGGTCAAATCGGTCCTCTAAGATCCTAAGCGAACCGGAAGTACGTCCCAGAAGAAGCGACCCGGGGTCGTGTTTCGCTTCTTCCCTTATTGGGTGGAATTGAATCGCACCTCCGGAACTCTTCTTGCCCGAATTCAAGGAGAGATGATCCACCCACCGGTGATCTCTTACTTCGGACAGTTCCGGGCCCTTACTTACACCAGCCAAAAGTGGTCAAGGAGGCGTACAAGTTCAATAAGGTGTTCGCCCTGGAATTTCAACTACCTCCAGGAGCCGTTAGGGGAGAACTTTGGGAGAAACCGCGGAGAGAGTATACTCGAGGCTTACAAACTAGTCGAAACAGGACCCGTGAAATGCATTTAATGAACGCAGCTTCTCCAGCCTGGAAGACGTGGACCAATCCGATCCGGAAGCGACCAGGGACACCCGGACGGGGGAAATGGACAATGGGCCCAGAAATCCAGAATTAAGAAATTACCGTGGGGAACTTTGTCAAAAGCAGCCGAGAAAGTGGACCGTCTTTGTTCCCGGAATATCCGGGGAAATAGAAAGTTGCCGGATTTCCTTCGGACGTGGCGAATATAATACCGGCACACCTGGGGACCAGGGGTCCCTGGTAAAGGTTGGAATACGCATTGCGCGTGCCTCGTTCCTTCCCTTATAAGGAAAGTTTTCTCATAGAGGCAACCGCCGCAATAAAAGAAAAGCCGCGTAATAAAAGAGTCACGCCGACACAATGGCGGACTTATTTGTGTCGCGGAGTCGGGGCGAGTTCGGAGGAGCTGTCTCTTCTCGGTTCCCTTTTAAAACGGGCAAATCGCCTTACATATTTAGAATAATACTGTTTACGAAACTGCCTGAATAAATTCAACGCCGTTTCGTTGCCTTCGGCTCGGCCGCGGAGCCGCGCCTCCACCCTCGCAATTTCTTCCGGGGGAGATTGCTCTTAGGGGAAGGAGCCCGGGTATTTACAGAAGTCGCACTGTACTCGCAGAAATTCTCAACCGCGATGTATTTGACCTATTTCGAGAGATGTGTGTGTTTTAGAAGCGAAAGCCACGGGAGAAGCTCGACGTCCCTCGTTGTCTCGTCTCCTCCCTCCTAGCCCCCAGGAAAGTGCAATTCCTTGGGAGGCCATCTTTTTTACTTCCATTTCTTTTTTCAATAATTTAGAGATACCTCCTCCGATCCGTGGATTTCGACTACGAGTCGACCGTCTAAAGCGGCATCTTGAGGCCTCTGAAAAAATGCGTTTCCGGGGGGCGAAACCCTTCCCCCTCGTTTCATCAGGCGAATGTATCGCGCCAGGGGAGCGTAATTCTTGGGCGGTTTCCGGCCTAAAATGTTCATCAAGCTCAATCTGCGCGTGCAATCTACGCTCCGACGCGGCCTCGCAATCCGCTCCAAACCTTCCCTCTTTTCAAATGACGAGCACACCGACGCGCCTAACAAAGGAAGATCGCGCCGTGTCCTCCCGGCAAAGCGTTCATACGCCGGCAGACACTTTTTCATTTGATTTTCATTTCGGCAGAAAGCGGCAGCAGCCGAGATGAAGTACACCCGCGCGGTGTGCGCGCCGAGTCCCGCGCTGTTCGAAAAGAGGACGAGTGTCAAAGCACCGACCCCGGGTTGCGAGTTACCGAATAAAATAGGCAGGCCCGTTCCGCAGGTACCGACTGCGGGGATCGAGGTACGGACGGGACGCGGGACCATGGGAGAACGGGAAAAAGGAAAGGCCAGGACCGTTTTCGCGAGTTCCCCTGACAAATGGCCGCGATTACGAGTGGATAAACGAGACGCGCCGAAGAGGACGCCGCGCTCTTTGCGGATCCACCGAGATCCTTCTGGATCCAAGGTGCTTGCCACGACGAATTCGCGTTTCCTTGGCAGCAACCCGTCCTTCAAGCCCGAAGAATCAGTCGAGGCGGGTCGAGTGGTTCCCTTTTTCGAGCCATTTCACCGGAGGCGAGGAGAACAGAGGCGGTTCGGAGTTCTCCAATATGGCGGCGGCGGCGTCGCGTCCCTGGGCCGCCGAAGAGCCGGAGGACTCGAATACGGAAAACGGGAATGCAAAGGGTGGAGAGATTCCGCTTTGCGAGTGACTTAGCGAGGTGCGGCCGTTTTCCTGGCAAATAACTCGATGCTCGGCTGACCCCCTGGGCGAACGCCACGCGGATGGTCGCCAAAAGTTCCGCACGGGAAGAGGCGTGCCCGCTCTCGGAAAGAATCGCCCTCGGTGCCCAAGTGAAAATGGTCGAAGGTAACACCGGCGGACGGATGGTGTTGAGAACTTGCCAGGAGTTTGACCGATAGAGCTATCGCAATTCCTGGGCGGACCCCGGAGAAAGGGCCGATAATTTCGTTGTCACCTCGAGATTAATGTTTACCGCCTAACGAGCCGGAGGTCCATTGGCCATTCTGCAGGAGCACCGAGGGATGACGAATGCGAGCCGAGGAGGAGCCGAGACGCCGAGAAAAAGGATGTCTCCGGGTTAATTAACCCCTCGACTCGCTCCTGCCCAGGGTATCCTGGAAAACGACCTCTCCCGAAAAATGCCATAATCCGAGAAATATGAATTTTGGATGAGGACCATTTTATTTCCTCGTCGTCTCGGACGTCGGTTCCGATTTCTCAGGCGTTTATGGACCATCGATCCCCTTTTTATCTTCCCTTGCTGCTCCTAGATGCGAAATGGAGAGGTATCCCGGATCCACGTCTATTGCGCCATGGAACGCGTGCTCGGAACGACCTGTTTAATGAAAACTGCGCTTCCTTCCGCGGCGGCGCGTTATAAAGAGTGCTTCCAAGCTTATTAAAATTCCCTGAGGCATTTATCACCAGGTTCCCGGGGGAGTTCGCCGACACCCCCACACGCCAGTGTCCGAAAAACACTGGCGGTAAAGCGAACTATGCGTTTGACGCAGTGATGTCGCCGTAGTTCGAGCATTCTTCGCGAAGTTGAGCAGCCATGATGTGCCCCTCGGTGCGCCGGGCAGCCGATACCAAAGTGTAAGAGCAAAACGTATGCCCGCCGGCGGACTTTCTGAAATTCCGCCGGATCCTCGGCCCTGAAAACAGCCGAAAATTCCCGGCACAGGTCCGACCACCGCCTGCCGATTTTGCAATCGATGAACAATTTCGAATTGTTCCGAAGCTCGCTCCAGTCATTCCCGAACATCGGTTCCGAAGAGGGTCCTTAAAAGACACGAGTTACGGATCTTTAATAGTCCTCGAGGTGGACTTCTTATCAAAGAGCGATTACCGCGGCCATCGCTCGGAATCGCGAGATTCCCTCGGGCCAGGTTAATAGTTCCTTGACTCGATTCCCGGGGAAATTAGTCGGGCATTGATCTCTCGAAGATAAACACTAGAGATGCCAGGGGTGCTCGAGCGATTCCGAGCACTTAGCTCTCGAGCTGGGCATCCATCAATTCGAACGTCGTCGCCGCTTCCAGAAGTCGGGACTTTAAGCGCGCCATGTTGCGCGAAAAAGAGACGAATGATTTGCGGCCGCAGATCCGCGCCAACTGCATTTACCCTCCGCGCGGTTTTCTGGTACATACGTACACATAATGTACACGTATATACGCGCGCACATGGAACAAGTGCTGTACTTTTCTCGCTGAGCTGCGGCTAACAACCGCGACGGACTGCCAAGATCAAGATTCGCGTTCCACGGTTCGCCAAAAATGCGCGCCCCGGCCGAGCGGATAAACGGCGCCGGAGGGATGCTTTCTCCTTCCCTTGGCATGAATCTCGCGACCCCGGAGAAAGCGTCATACGATTATGGCCATAGTCTTGGATATGAAAAAAGGAAAGAAAAAGGAAGAAAAAAGGAAAGATATCTCCCCAAGTGGCGGGACGTCTGGCGGATTTTTTCCCTTCCACTTCCTTTATGTCTTCCCATATCGCGGAGAAAAATGGGGCGCACCTTGAAATGATTTTTTCCTCTGTTACAGTGGTTCGCCAGGAGTACGAGGTCAAGGTACGGGACGCTTACGTATTCTCCGGGAACACGGGAGTGATGAGATGCGAGATTTCACCGTTCGTTAAGGGTTACGTTGCGGTCACTTCGTGGGTGCAGGACGCGAATTTTAATATTTACCCCACACCACAAAGCGGTAGGTAATTTTGCGCACGTATCCGCCGTTAGTTAAGGCCGGCTCGAAAAAGGCGCGACCGGGAGAATTAACGTTGGCGAGGAATTGTAAGGGAACCGACAATGAGAAAGGGGGTCCAGGGCGTCGGGGTCGAGTCGGAAAATAAATGCGGCCTGTAAAGAATTGGCCGTCGCGACGTTTACGAGAGATCGTTTCGCGGCGTCGATGCGATCGAAATTTCGAGGGGATAAATTCTAGCCGACCGGGTGGACAAGGGCCAGCTCGAGGTTGCGTTCTCCAGTCGAGCGTTCTCCAACCTAACGAAGGCGGCCATTTTGGTAGCGCCGAAGGATCGGCTCTTTACACCCTGAAAGAGCGGATTTCGGTGAATTCCACTCATACGCCACCGATTCGCCCTCGGCCGATGACTTAGCGGGATTTTTAAAGGGCCCAATTTGCACAGGGTCCCGTATATGAAGTATGAACCGCGCACCGAGTGTTGTACGGCGCCGCACCCCGTGCCGGTTCAGTCAATATCGGAGTTAATTGGAGGCTGAGTGGACGATTCAAGTACGCGCGTACACCCCCTGCCCCTCGAGAGGGTCGGTTAGCTTCTGCGTGAATTATACAGCTACGTGGCAGAGATCTGTAATTGCGCGAACACGCTCCACTCGGCCGGCAAGAAAGAACCCGGGGACAATTGAAAAGCCGACAATGGTCAAACATAATTTCACGGCCGCGCCGGGGTCAATTAGGGTGCGGTATCCGGAAAGGAACGCCACTTGGTCGCGATTACCGGCTAATTACGATGAAATTGCTGTATCGGCGAGCAACGGCAAATGGGGCGTGCGGTCTTGAATCAAGAGCGAGCTCTGGGGTCCTTCTCCCCCGAAGGCGAAATAATTACGATATCGTGACGGATGAAATTTTCTAAATTCTGGAGAACGTTATTTTTTTTTCCTTTAAAGGTGTTTCGTTGGGCGGTGGCAGAGGAAGACGGCTGGGCAATTTTTCTGGGTCAGCGTTAAGGGGTGCGGATTGGGGGGTGCTGTGTCAGAGCGAAGGGTACTAACAACCGCATCGTTCGATAACCGAGGCACCGGTGATCGGGTCGTTAATCCGCCATAAAGACTGTAAAAGTCGGCGCGGAAGCGACCGAATTTACAGCGGCCCCCGTTGATTGGTTCGCTCGAAAAGGAACACGGGAAAAATTGTGGCGCAGTCCGCACCCTCGGCCGTTACGGGCCGAAAAATGCCGCATACCAAATCCCGAAGGCAATCATTCATCCGCAGCTTTCTGGAATTGACGCCGGAGCCCGCGACTATACTCGATTATAGCGATTATTGCGCGTGCTCGACGTTTACGGGGAAGTGATAGCGCGAGCTACATTTTTAGACGTCGGGTCCAATTCCCACCGACGAGTAAATCAGCTCGGCGAAAAAAACCCTTATCTACCGCGGCAGAAATGCGCCTCTTCCCCTCGAGCCATAAATCCAGAGCATCGATTCATACATCATTCGCGTCATTTAATTGCACGAAAGTGGATATCGACACTTGTATCCAAGGTGGTCGTGTCTAGAAATTAAAGGACTCTGATCAGGAGGATCCCTCTTCGCCTGTTGGCGAATTGGCAATACGTGGTATCTCGTGTCATTCATTTCCTCTCTGGAAGCTCGACAGAGCTAACGAGCAGGGCTTGCCGGGTTCCTGCGCGCCGCCGGTTCCAGGCTCGCGCGGTCCTAGGCGGGAAGGCGAGCGCGAATCTGGAACTCCCGGAATCGCGGCCCCTCCCGACGGTATCGGGGTTGGCCGCGTAACCGCGTAGATGGTCGGGCGCGCACGTGTGGGATTAGCGGTTGGTCCCGATCGAACCGAAGTGCATGGAACGGTCGGGCGGTCCCACCACCCCCCGACATCCCCGTGTCGTTCAAACACAGAGTGCTCAGCCACAATGCAAATTCACCAGGGTGCTCATCCCCGTCTGGCCCGCACATCCTCCGGCGCATCTCTGCACATCCCTGCGCACCCCTGCGCGTCGAAAACCCATCCGAACCGAGCCACGATCTCTCTGCATCTCGGCGCATCGAGATGCATCTCCACGCCCTCGGTGCACCGGGAGGGAGAAAGAGAGGGTGGGAAGGGATCTGCCAGTTCCGTCATTCGTATTATTACCTACGTCGGAAGCCTAATTCAGCTAATAAGCCTCGTAAATATCCATTATCGGAGGCCGGCAAAGCCGAACTGACAACCCTTGCCTCACCGATATCGATATCAGCGATAGCGGTTATCACCACCCCGACTATACTCCGGCTCGCATCCGACTGCGGGTGAGTCGATTCGTATCGACCAGGGAAGCGATATGTCGGAAAAGTCGCGCTCAAAGGGACCCCTAGAAAATTCTACTCTAATCTATTTTCCACGACCTGATCCGACCGGGTTCTCTTATCATCCGCGTCGCGAAATTCCTTTCGGGGAATTTCGTGCCGCATTTTTTGCCCCGGGGTGCCAGCCCTCCGGCGGAGCACCGCATCCAATTTTTCACCCGGATTACGACGGTCGCTAAAAAGTGGCGAGGTATCGGCATGGCCTTAAAAAATTACTAAGGGATCCGCGTGGACACCGAGTACCACCCCTGGCCAATTTCTCTCCCGGATACTCGGGATCTCGAATTTTTCATACCATTGTCAAAGAGACATCAGGGGATGTTAAATCGCCTCGCGCAGGGCACCGTGGGTCGGGAAAACGAAGGGATGTTTTTCGGATTTGGTAGTCCCTTTGAGCAGCGCTCGGCATTACACGGTAATAAGAGTGATGGGGAGGAAAGGGGTGGGTGCATTTCGGATTCAAAACGCCAGGAGAGGATCCATTCGGCCGATAGTTCATAGTTTAACGAACGTTCGAGTCGGCCGGGTTTTTGTGCGGGGTTCCAAGCAATGCAGATTCGATGGGTGTCGATCTACCGGCACCGGAACGGGCTTTTGCAGTGCAGCAGAGCAGCGCCCAGCAATGTGCAGCAACGTGCAGCAATGTGCGGCAATGTGTTGCGGCACGCGGCAGCCGGGATTGAAAAAGATCGAACACAGGAAGCCGACTCGTGTGTTCTTACTCGCTTACATCGAAAAATCGCTCAACTATGCCGAGGGGCCCTGGCGGGAATATTCGCATCCTCGTGGGCCGAATCGACGCGAAATCGCCGATTAATCCGAAAATCGGAAATCCTCCCGAAAGGGACGCTTTTCCACTTCCGAAAGTCGTGCCAGATAGGATCCGCCCTGGAACCCGATCCCGCTCGATATTTTTCTATATATTGTAATCGCGCTCGCAAATAATCGCGCCCTACCGTGGGCCGGTTATGTCCGGCCTCTGCCAACAATGCCCGGTTTCGCCCGTAATGGAACTCCGGCCGAATTTATCGAGTACATTAATCCGAAGATTTCCTGCTATCGGTGTCCGTTGCATTTTGCAAATTTATATTAACGGGGCTTCGGGCGCCCCCACTCGGAAAGAATCAAATGAACCCGGGAAATTGAGGCGAAATTGCGATCCACCGATATGTTAACCTGCCGTGTCGCCCGTCGATTTGCCTCCCCCTGAAGAGGAGGGAGAAATGCGCGGAAAATGGCGACCTCTTTAAGAGAACAATTTTTCAGATTTTGTTTTCTTCGTTTTTTTTTTTTTTTTTAATTACACCCCCACTCAAGGGAACTATGCTTTCGCAGATGGAAAGTATCACATGCTGCCGACTGGGGAACTGCTGGTATTTTCGATAACCTCGGCTGATGCTCATTACACCTATCGATGCCGTACTGTCCACTACATCACCGGAGACAAGGTCGAAAGCTCTTCCTATGCTCGCTTCGTCGTTACCGGTAAGTTCCCTTGAATGTCTTCCCTGATAATGGCTTCGAAAAATTGATACAGGTCTTCTCGGCACAAAGTGGCAGCGCATCCTTCGCCAGGTGTGACTTTGCGATATCTCGTTAAGATTCGACCACTCGAAAAAGTCCTCTCGAGAAACTGCAAGCTCGAGGACCTGCAGGAACGAACACTTTCCGGTGCAATAAAGATCCCCTCGAGGGAAAGACGACAATAACGCGCACGTCGGAGATTTCATAACATGACGAATTAGCGGGCACGATTGCCCTTTGTCGTCGGGGAAATTGAATTTAAATTGGGCGCGGAGGAGCCGGCGGGGAACTTCGCGGAGTTGAAGACAAGGCGAGGCGAAGTGCGCCATTAGCATGTCAGAAAAGCGGTGTCGTTAAACCGCTCGGAAGTAAATAAAGCGACGATGTCGGAAACAATGCACACTCTCCTGGGAATAAATAAATTGTGGAATCTTCATATCTTAAGACATTTTCTTTTTTAATTCACCCCGCTTTTCGGGTGGTGTGGAGGAATTATTAATTGATATTAATTACCAGTTTTAAGGCTTTACGCGCAGTACCTGGTTTCACCGACCGCGTCCTTCTCACTCGCAGCCCGAAACGTCTAAAACTGCGTTACACACCGCAATTAACGTGTATACCTGGCACAGCAACTGAGCAAATGCTACTTACAGTTGGAGCTGCAAATACGCTTTATAATCCGAGTTGGCGCCCAGATCGCACTCGAAACTTGCCGCCGAAGTAAGCACCGAGAGGCGTGTTCGCCGGAAGTTGTAAGTCTGAGTGCGTACAGTTTCACAGTCGCTCTTTCCGAGATGTATAAAAAATTCCCCGATGGGTTTATCGAGCGATGGATTTCATGAAGAATTTCGGGGAAACCGGGGAAAACGATTTGTGGAGCTTAAGAAACAATTTGGCGAATCCAACCCATTCTCCATGGCCCAGATGGCCGACTCGAGGGTGGAGCCCCTGCCACCTTGCACCGGTGCAAGCCGAAGTGCATCCTGCACCTACATGTGCCCGCTCCACTCGAAGTTGTGACGATGGGTACCTATCTCTCAAAACGTTCGCGCAATTAAGGAAACCGCGTTCCCCATCGCGTCGGAGTGCGAACTCCGGCCAAGTGTGCAACTCGTGTTACGCTCGCTATTACCGCGAATGCATCCCCGACGCGAAGTCTGTTACGTGCAACCATTGCCGAGTGCCGTTCTAACGAGAACGAGTTGCGAGACGCGTGCAATTGCTCCCTTCGAGGACATACGCCTAATATACTCGCGACGTCTGGCCGAGAAAGTAAGAATCCTCAGAGAATTTTTCAAAAACTGGGGACAATATTTATTCCTTCCCTCCCTTAAATATAATCTTTATAAAAGCTCGAGATAACGAGGCGCACGAAGATTTGAAAGGATATCGAAAAAGACCAATCCTCAAGATCTCACTAAAGTCATGTATTTTATTTTCATCGCGTCAATAGGTCTCGAGTAGAGAAGTAAAATCCGGTAACATGCCTAAATTTGGAAAAATATACTCGCACCTAATTTAGAAAAGTAATATAATGGAGGGGAAAAAAAAATCATTCCTCGAAATCTCACGAGAATGATGATATTATATTTTATTTTTATCGCGTCAATGGGCCTCGAATAGTAAAATCGCAAAACGTGTCACGGAACGCATTGCCTGTATCCTTTCGGCAGGGCGAAATTCGTGTATTCGAAACTCGAAGAAGCCCCGGAGCTTTTAGCAGCCCGAGCCATCGAACTGCTCGAGGATGTTTCGGGAGCATGTACATCTCCCTCCCGAGGAATACATTGCACTTACTTTCGAATTGACGGAGTACTACCGACAGTGCTATCGAGAGGCGATACGAAACGCAGCATCGGGGACGTCGAGTTCCTGGGCGCCCATCGACGTAACCCAAGTTGCCCGTGGGAAGTCCTCGGTAGGAAAGTAATTCGCATCTCGATGTTCAAAAGTGAAAAATGAATTGGCCGGATAAAGATCGATAAAAACATGAATCGACGAGGGGGATCCGGGGGTGGAGATCGGCAATCCCCTCGACGTCGAGACTCAAGGGGTGGATATTAATGCGCCGTTTTCCGGGTGTTCGAAGGCGGCTATTTTAGGAGTTCTTGGGCAACCGGAAGCTCGGAGACCAACAGATGGGAGATTTCCGAAGGAGGCTGGGATTATTGATCCTGATGAAGGGCCGCCGAAAATAGAGGGTCCGACGAACCCCTGGTGGACCTCGATTGGAGGGATTCCTCAGGTCCTGCGAGTGCAACTCCACCTTGCGCGGTCTGCGGCGGGTCTGGTGTCCGCAAGAAACAATGCAGCTATCTCGGCCCCATCGACTCCTGTGGAGCGCGAATGTGCCCCCACACGCATTCCGCATACAGACGGAGGAGCCTTGCAAATGGTTCACGGTAAAGTGCACCCTGGCCGTGCCAAGGGGCGATAAAAACGATGAGCGATTCATCGATGTGCCGGAAAGTTGTATCGATCCTGCAAGGACTCCTCGCGCAGCGAAAGCGGAAGGCTCCGTTCCGCAGAGGGAACGCATCGGCGGAAAAAGTTGGATCGCAAGTTGGATGAGAAATTGGTGGGGCGCGGAGAAAAAGGACGACCAAGGGCGTTAAAAGTCAAACACCGAGGCGTGCATCCTGGCTGGAAAACGCGAAACCACCCCGCAAGGGAGTTGCACCCTCCAGGATGCACCCTGGAGACTGCACCGGCGATCGCGCCTCGCGCGGGTACTTGCGATTTGCATAAACCCGAGGAGGAACAATCGAATTGCGGGACTTAGACCCATCCTTCGATCGAAGTGTCCGGATTGCTTGGGTTCGGAACTCGAGCAAAATTCAGACGTCGCTTCGAGGGTCGGGATGATGAGTGCTGGATGCCGCGATTGCGAGTCCGAGACGTCGGTCGGCGATCTCGAAGGATCCGGCCGGTCGCGTCTTCGCAATCTCCGGAAAGAGTCTCGCAATCAAGGAAAAGCACCTCGCAGGCCGAGGGGCGTACAATGACCGACAATAAGTACGCAAAGACAGGGGCGGAAACAAGGGCCCGGGTGCACCCTCCGATCCGCCCCTAACCTCCCCTCGAAGAACCCGATGCACTCGATGCACCGCCGGAGGGCTGCGTTAATTAAAATTTTTGCAAGCCCCCTTGTTTGCGGCCGACTGCGGGATTCCTGCTCGAGCCGAGATTATTTATCGTTTGATAGCGGCGTGGCCGCTTTGAACCCCTCAGGAAATTTCACGGATCCGGAACCACCTGCCGATGCAGGATCCTCCCTCTTCAGGGTGGCAGCCTCGTTCCTCGTGGTGGTAATTCTTCTATTCCGTTTCCCTCGATACGCGACAAATCGCTCGAAGTTAACGAACCCCGAACATCTACGACTTCGACAAAACGGCTATAATTTTTTATCGGTCGGAATTTTTCTCTGACTTTACTAAAAAAATGGCGTCAAGCCGATCTTCGCCCTGGCTACGCGGGGGTGCATCTCCTAGGCGGTATTGTCTCTTCGCGCAGGTCTAATCGTCTTAAAAACCGAGTTTCATTTATTCGCGCAGTTGAAAGGGCATAATTTATTCCGCCATAAAGGCCGCATTCTTCCGACGTGTGAGTAACGAAACTCCATCTTAGCGCATCCTCCATGGTCCAGGGAGAGATGGAACTAATTAGCGGCCATTACCGCGCGCATCGCGCAAATTCCCGCGAGTAGTGCGCTTTGCAGCGACACATCGGCCGGCTATAATTTGCATCCCCGTAGGTAATAATACCGGGGCCTGGGCAAAGCCTCCCCCTGAAAAGAAATTCCACTTTGGTCGGCGCGCTTATTAAACGCCGAAGCCGAGGGGGAGTGCTGCGTTCCTTTAAATAATCCTCCCATTCTTCCAGCTGCATTATTCCCTTCGACAGTCCTTTTATACTCTGCTAATGACGCATATATATGCGCATATATATGTGTGTATATATCTATATCTATATATTTCGCACATAACCTGGCTTACGCCTCCCCATACTTCATTGCTTTCGTTTCCAGCGCGGCTCGGCAGGAACGTTTACGCGTCGCACCCGCGCACCGCCGCTCGATCGATTCCCCGATATATAAAATGCCCCCAGCCGACGCTTTCCGAACACCCGATATAACCTAATTGCCACTTCATTATTCCTCCGAGAGGAGGTACCGGTCGCCGTACAATAATTACCGATACAGTGCAAAGAATTGCGCCAATCGTCGCGCACTTCGACGACCACGTGCCACGAGGGGTAGGTCAGTGACTCGCATCTTGGATACGTTCCATATTAAAGATCCGCAAAAAAAGCCACCCAAATGGTCAAATTTTTATGATTTCCATCCCTCTCCTGGAACCACTTTTTCGAGGCCTGACAAAAAGCGCGTCGAGACCCTGATAAAAACAGATGGAAATTTACACACATTCTTACACAACTCATAATCGAAGTTTCACATACGGAAACGTAAAGTGGAAAAATTACGAATTAGAAAATGTAAAAATTTACCTTACATTGTATATTTACTTATTAGTGGTTTTTTAGTTCAATTAAATGTTATCTTACGTTATACTTCTCTTTAAGTTAACTTAGAAGCGATTCCCTTTAACTTAACTTAGGCGCTTAGATCGTAGCATCAAGATAACCAGGGATTGAGTATGTAAATTGACGTAAGTACGTTTATCAGTGAAGGTGATTACTCCTGATTGGGTCGATTGGTGCCCTATCGGTTTCCGAAATTTTGGTTTGGAGGCAATCGCGAGGTATCAGGGAGTCCATCGAGGGGGTGGATAACGTCAGAACGAGAAACGAGATCTTCGTGCGATGGCAAGGGAAACGTTTTAGCGAGGGTGATATCGAAAGGAGTCTGAAAAAAGTGTCCCTCCCTCCGGCGCCTCCTCCGCCGTGACTCGTTCTCAAACCTTCTTCCCTTCCGACTTTGCCACCCTTGCCAAACCCTTCCGAGGGCCTCGCAACCCTTTCCCACCCTTTGTAGGTGCGCTACGTGACGCGACGTGCAAGCACTTCAGCCTCGCTCAGTCGAGCCTCGGAGTCGCTTGATCGGCGAGGCGATACGCGAAAAAGTGCTGGCCTTTTCGGTCGAGAATTACTCCGGCGATAACGCCACGCGTCCCATGTGTGCTCATATTTCCTATCTTTATGGACACACCGACACGTCTGCCGCCTAGATACTCCGGAGACGCGATAGGTCCTCGTTAGGGCCCGGCCACCTCGGAACCCGAGAAAATTGCGCCCAGGAACGAGATCGATGCGCTGGACCCGAGAAAAACTAGGAAAAGTCCATCGCCTCGGTGCTATTAGGCATCGGATAAATTCTAGACACCTTGAATCCATTTCAGACAATTTTAATCGTCACGGATAACGAAGGATAATTCTCCTGAAAAGGGGGAAACGATCATTTACGTGATTTGCTCGCGAAATCGAGGTGGTTCTTGCTCCCTGTCGTTATCTAGAATTTTACACCCCTTCATGGGTCCGTGGCTTTAGGCTCCCTGGTGTGCAGCAAATTTCTGGCTCTTCTGAATGCCCTGAAAACTTTTGAAATACCACCCTTTTAGGGGGTTAGCACTTACCCGGGTGAGGCACCGCGGAACTTGGGTCTCTTATTTATCCGGAGTAGCTGGTGATAAACCGTGAGGCGCGAGTAAGGAAATTTGAAGGCACTTGAACGCGAAATGGAATATTTACCGAAGTTACTCCCGCGTTCCTGGGGGAGCCGATAATCGACGCGCCCTTTCGTTACGACCGAACGGAAATTTGAAAATCGGTTTTGGCCCTTCGCTTTCTTGGTCGCCGCGTCCCTTGGCTCCCGCACGAAAGACTAATTTACCGTGAATATATATATCGACGAGCTACTTACGGGGCTTTCGCTCCTAGAGGTGCGCACGTACCACGCGAGGTAAATGCACGTACGCCCTTTTACTAATTGCTCTTCGGAAATCCTAATGGACGTAAAGTGCTTTGCATAATGGCTCGGAGAGCCGCTGAGTGGCGCCCGGGGTCAAGAGGGAAGGTAAAGACGTTCGGTCGCCTAACCTGTGCTAACTAACCTGTGTGCAGACCTGCGAATCCCTGCGCACTTTGGTCAACTTCGACCAACTTGGATTTCGCCTTGGCGACACCGAGACCTGATGCGAGGGTGGCAAACGATCTCCCAGATTTTCGTATGGAAAGAGAAATTTTGATATAACGCAATGGTCAATTATTTTTAATTAATCCGTGGACGGACTTATAAGTATTTGAGCACTTTGATCAACCTGAGCTAACTCGCAAAACCCATGTCTGGCTCTGACGAGGAAAATTTCACCAGATTTAGCAAGTTTTTACGCAGAATCCAATTTTGTCGGGAATTCTCCAGTCACCGGTATCAACGCATATCATGCGAATCCAAACAGGGAAGGATCGAAAAGTTCCTACCGGCCATGAGTAGTCTATCCGGGAAAGCCGGATTCAGTGTTTTGACTCCCCGGTGATTCCGCATGTTAAGTAGGAACACCACTGGCCAAATCCAAATTGATATAATCGCCGGGGGCTAATTGCTCCCGCCGTTAGCGCGGTGTAATCGCGGAAATTACGCCGCGGTTTTTCCGACTGTTTGCACGAGAGTGGAACCCCGAAAAAGTAGAACAAAGAGGGCCGGCCTGATAAGGAGGGTCCGCACTTCGCAATCGTTATCGCGGAGCCAATCTCGATATTTGCCGATCTGACGTTTTAGATTTGCAAATCGGCTCCCTTTACCGAGATCGTCCTCTTTCCGTCATTCGCTGGTCTTTCTGCATTTCTACAAAATTTCGATCCGCCCAAACTTGCGGTACACAAACGCGGGCTCAACTATCATACATGACCGTCCGAGGTACACTGGGAATCGGTTTACTTTGTGTCCGCTAGTTAAACGTCAAATACCCCGAGTGATTGATATTCCGCGGTGCAACCGTCGGTGAAACGAAGTTACACGAAGGCGAATCGGCCTTTGAAGTCGGACGGGGTATCATCTGGCCAGCAAACAAGTCTTTACGAACTAATATCCGGGCACTTGCCCCCGGGAAAAAACTCGATTACTTCTTGCGAGGAGCAAACCTTGCACGTAATCTATTAGGTTGAATCGCACCGTGTGTGCGGGATGGGAAATTGGTCGAATCCGGAGCGAAGTAAGCCTCCGCTGTGGCGGCCATATTTCCAGAAGCAACGGATACGTCTCCTAGGCTGGCTTCATTAATCCGGGCTGATCAACCATTTTTGTGATGCCTACAAAGGGGAAAACAAAGGGCCGACCGTATTGCCGTGTAATCGCGCGCGCGGGGAGCCCATGGAGAGGCGAAAAAATACGCGAGCAATTTTCCCGAAATTACATTTGTAGGAATTCTCGGGTACCAGTCGCGAGGGTATAGCGCGCCGTTAAAAGGCCCGGCGAACAAAGACCCCGAGTTCCATTGTTTCCATGGGGAGAATTATCGAAAAATACCCCGCCGAGGGAACAATGCGTTTCCCCGTGGAAACGATTAGACACCGCCCCGGAAACATACGGGGCCCGGGAAATATCGGGTTAGGGGGATCACCGGGAACGCTCCGGAATACCGCCGCCATATTGATTCCGCAACCTTCGCCACTTAACCCGAGACCGGTCAATTCCTCGCCGTCGCGAATATCCCGCAAGCTCTCGGCTGTTTTTCGCGACCGGGCCGCAACTTCTTGAGAATCCGCACAAACGTGGAGCCTCCGGAAGGCGGCGAAAGGGGCGGCGGAGAATCGCTCGTCCGGACGCTTCGAAGCGTTGGGCGCCGCCATATTGATTTCATAGCGTCCGCCACTTATTGTCAAGGGGCTTGAAAGGAGAGTTTCCGACGCGCGACATCGCCCACGTTTTCCTGCCTCCAGCGATTTTCGAAGTCTTCTTCTGAATACCGGGGACAATTATACGATATCCGCTGGTCGTTTTATGGGAGTAAGGAGCGTTTCTGCAAGATTTCCGCGCGAGCTTCTTTGTTTCTCAAAGGACGCCGCCCGAAGTTCCGGTCAAATATGGACTCTGCAGCTCTCGGCAGAGGGTAAGAGAAGTTAAATTGTTCGCCACCAAGAGGGCGGGTATATTGAAGGCGGTAACGATTAAACACCGGGGAAAGTTCGGACCGGGGGACCTCCACCCCCGCGACCATTGCACCCTGTTTACGGATTTTTCTAACGCACGCGTGCTCATCCCATCATAACCCGGCCACTCGGCTAGGTGGACCCGCGTTATTATTGTAATTTAAGCCGATGGCGTATTGATCGTCGCTTGCTTCCGTGCAATTCCAGTTGGCATATTCCCGGGACGCGGTGCCGCCGCCCCCGCGCGTCCCCTCACCCCCGCGCCCCCTCGCGCCCTGGCCATTGGCCCCCCACGCGTCAGCGCGTTCCTCCGAGAACTTTTTACATTTTTCACCCCGGTATATATCGCGGATTTATCAGCCGTTATCAGCGCCCCTTCGCCCCAGCCTTCTGCCACCCCCCAAGGGCCAACCTCCTCTCGATATTCCCTCCGCCCCCGCTCGAATCGCTATCGTTACCCTTCTTCGCGATCCCTGTCCACCCTGGTAGGATTTCTCCACCTCTCTGGATTTTAACCAAATCGTTCAATGTCCCAATTTGTCGGATGCATTTCAGAACAACGAAACCCCGTGCCCCCGCGGTTCAACGAGCGGGTCAACCCCGCGCCCATCCGCACCGGGGACACCATCGTCCTGTCCTGCATCTCCCAAGGAATCCCGCCGCCGATGTATCTCTGGTTTCGAGAGTTGGTCTCTGGCACTGACATGATCGGCAATTCCGAGAGGATTCATGCCAGGGCCGGCATCCTGGTGTTGCAGAACGCCAGGCTCGAAGACGCCGGCCGATACGTTTGCCACGCCAATAACACCGCGGGCTCCGAGAGGGTGGAACTCGAGGTTTCGATCATCAGCAGCCTTTCCATACAGCTAACACCTCCGCAGGTTGGCACCCCTCTCGACTGCACTTTCTCCGAATGCTGTCGGCCTCAAAATTCATTTTTAATAAACCCTTGCCCTATGCCCGAGCATTCATTTCCCCGATTTCTACATCCCAGGTCCAGAAGTGCCAGCACCGGCGCATGTGCATGATTTAATTGTAACGCATGCCCTAGAGGATATTTAACGTGTATATATACCTAGTAATAATCCGATGAAGGTTGATGAATTTTTAATCCCACCCTGATATTCATGCATTAGTCGGGTATACCTATCTCGGTGCATCGTGCAGAGGTAATGGCAGGGTACCGAGCAATTGCATCGCTGTTTGCTAGTCCATTGAAGGTGTTATGGCTCATACGATTGCTCGATGTGTACCTGCCTTCCCAGAAGCGAATTGCCATTTGTGGTTACTGCGATCTACGAGGCAGGGCTTGAAATTTACGTTTCTATGTGCGATTGAGATTAAAGAGTTTCGATGCATTGAGTAACTGAGGGTAATTAGCGGGGGATAATTATGGTTTCTTCGGTTCTAAAGGCGACCGTGGATCTGGGAAAAGACACCGAGTTCACCTGCACGGTCACGGGGCAACCAACTCCGGTGATCTCGTGGGCCAAAGATGGACATCTTCTTAGGGAAGGCTCTTCGGGTAGAATAAAGATCCAGAAGGGGGTGATTCCTACCCTCCACATCTCGTCGATAACGCGCGATAACAAGGGGATGTATCAGTGCTTCGCCAAGAACGACTACGAGATGGTGCAGGCCACTGCTGAGCTGCGTTTGGGAGGTAAGCAACCCCCTCGATTTATTCCCCGATATCCAATCGGTGAATATTTGACGTCGGGAGAATAATGAATAAATAATTGACGCGAAAAACGCAATCGCAGCCTCCGACTGCCGGGCGCGGCGGACGCCATGCGCCGGTAATTGCGACAATTAAATTTCGTAAAAACACGAATCGGGTAACGGTAATCAATGCAAATAACGCCCCTCGATGAGGGAGTGGCTTCCGTCAATAGGGCATTCTGATTTACGTCACGGGCAAACAAGCTCTGCGGGTTATTGTCCGCTCTATAATTTGGGGTTAATTCACTAGGCGGCATACCGGTTCAGGCGTCAAACCGCAGATCGATAGTTCTGCCTGGGTATAGGCTTGTCATGTAAATGTTGCGTGCATAATGCTCGCATAATGCTCGCATTGTGCGATACCCGGACGATTTGCCGGGGGAAGGATCAGCAAGAACGTCGCGCCGAGCGCAGCCCGCCTCGCCGATTCGACCCCTTTCCTCGTTCACACATGACAGACCTCCAAAACAGAAGTCGAAACGTCTAGGATGCATTCTCCAAACGCTGCTTCCATTACCCTCCGATGGGAGTTCGAAGAGGGATGCGCCGCGGCATCGATACGCCGCGACATGTCTCGGAACACTTTTCGACCCTTTATCTTGCACCCCTTTCTGGCCATACCGAAAGTCGCATAACACATCTCACAGATGAATAAATAATCTGCCGTCGGGTTTTCACCTCGCCGATGTATTTTAACCCTTCTTTGTTTATTCAGGATTTTTACCCGACTTTTCAGGAATTAACGCGTACTCATCCCTAGGGCTGCGGTGGAGGCATAATTTTCCCGGTGATTTCTGTCGGCAGATGCGGCGCCCCAGCTTGTATATAAATTCATCGAGCAGACTATGCAACCCGGGCCATCGGTTTCCCTAAAGTGCATCGCCACCGGCAACCCGACGCCGCGGTTCACGTGGACCCTGGATGGATTTCCACTCCCGCAAAATGATAGGTACATTTTTGCGGACACGTTTAGTGCACCCCTCGCGCTCGCATCCACCTGCTGCACGCGACAGAGACGAAGTGGAGGCCTCCCTCGTCCCGATTTACCCACGTCTTCGGGGCCGGGACCTAAAAACCTGGAGAAAAATTGCACGTCAAATCGTGTCGCCCCTGACACCTCTCTCGCAAGGGGTGCCGATTTTCCCTTGTCCCTCGATTTCGGGTCGCTCCGTCGTTGGATTCACTTTTTCTCGCGTTCCAGGTTTGTCATAGGTCAGTACGTGACGGTGCACGGGGACGTCATCTCGCACGTAAACGTGAGCGTGGTCCGGGTCGAAGACGGGGGCGAATATCGGTGCACCGCGGTGAACAGGGTCGCCAAGGTACACCATACGGCCCGGCTGAACATTTATGGTTTACCGCATGTGCGGCCCATGGGCAACTTCACCGCCATAGCCGGCGAAGCTGCGGTAATCAAGTGCCCGGTTGCTGGGTTTCCGATCGCCAGCATCACCTGGGAGAAAGGTGAGCTCTCCCCTGGCGAGCGTTTCCGCACCGTAAAAGCACCGCGGGGGCGCGTTTACTCGCCTCGGGCAGACACTTCGCGCGGAATAAAAAGCCGAAACGTCTCCTGCCCCCGAATCATCGGGGAAAGTTATTACTCCGCGAGTTTTGCATCGCCGACGGCGACTGCGCATCTCTTATTCCGCCTTGCGGAAGAGCTCGCGCATCGCTGAACAAATCTGTTGGGTGGAAAAACAAAGACTTTTTTTATTTTTTTCATGGAACCTGCAGGGAAGAAATATTAGCGAAGGGTTGTTATTCCAAAATCTAATTAAAGTCACTCGAGGCGATTTCGGTATTGATCGAGGCGATGGTTACACACCTCTTGCGAATCGTTTGCAGATGGGCAGGTGCTTCCCACGAGCCTGCGACAAGAAGTGTCGGCAAATGGTACCTTAATCCTCCATCGAGTAGACAGTAGTACGGACAAAGGGGCGTACACTTGTACAGCGAAGAACAAGCAAGGGGACTCCGACTCGCAAACCGTTCAGATCATTGTCAAAGGTAACTACGTTTCCTGTGTGCCTTTCTCGATATACTTGGACGGAGGTCCGTCCTCGTAGTTCGATCTGAAATCAAGGGGACACTCTATTCCATGCTATTCGATCTCCTCGACGATCTTAAATAATCCTGTTTATCTTTACAGTTTCGGAGTCGACTGCGAGATATTTTCCTGTGAACCTTGCATTTATTTATAACCGATGTAATTAATACAGGGACGACACGAAGATTGGGCTATCGATGCCCAATGGTACACTGATACAGTGCTTCCCAAACTCAGAGCTGAAATCACTCCTGCCAACGTGGGGTCGAGCTACAAATTATTTCCAAGATTTCGATTCTTTCTAATTTAAGAGAAGAAAAATATAGTCCCACAAATCAAGTCGCGTAGCTTGCAGACGGGCCCTCGAGAAAATTTTCGCAAAATTTCATGTTAAGCCGACGAGAACCGAACCTTCCGTCCAGCCACGTCCATGTACCGTATTCAGCATTTTATTATTAATTTCACTGGATTCCTAAATTTTATATACAATAACTTTCGGAAAAATGTACACTGTGCTTCTCCTTTGTTCGAAGATTAAGAAATGGAACATGGCGGGCGGAGAGGTCGACCCCGTCGGACGACCTAGCGTTTTCTTAATGTTAGAGTGCGGTTTAGGAAGCACTGCATCAGCGAGAGGATAAACTTGAATGCCTGTGCTTTACAGTCCCTCCTAGAATTGATCCGTTTAGCTTTCCCGAGAACGTCCAAGCGGGGGCGCGGGTCCACGTGACGTGTGCCGTCAGCGAGGGCGACGCTCCCATCAGGATCTCCTGGCTGAAGGACGGCAAGTCTTTACGATCCACGGAGACGACTACCTATCAGAGCGGGGAATTTGACCTTGCCCTCAAGATACAAAGCGCATCTCCCGCGCACAACGGCAACTACACATGCGTCGCGAGCAATGACGCTGCGGAGACGTCGCGCTCCGCGTCTCTGCTGGTCCACGGTACGATCCACGTACCGCTGTGCGGTACGCGCAACGATCGCGAATATCGCGACAGCGGTGCATGCTATCGCGAAAACCCTCCCACAAAAGTTGTGCCGATGAAAAAGAGGAGCAGCTTTCGTTGGAAGCGTTTTCGCATACCATGCACCGTTTAGGAGAAATAACGAAATGAAACGCGCGACATATGGGGGATGCCGATGGACCGGTGATTTCCACCGTATCACGCGAGGAGGTCACTCGACTCTGTATACAGGAGACCGTTGAGACGAGTTATCGTTTATGTTTACGTCTATAATTTCTTTTCGGTGAAACGAATTTTCCTAGTCCTCCGAAGAAGCGTCCCGCTGTCAGGGCGGCGTTTCGCGACTCGTCATTCGAGGCCCCTCCGAGGGGAACGCTCTCTCCGTGCAAAAGCGCGATAAAGAAAGAAGCTCTTCCGCATAACCCCGAGCGGAGTTCGCGTTGAAACGACTCTCGCAGCTAGACGAACAAATCAGCGCGAGAGGAACGAAACCTTGGCCAACGAACGGCCCCGGGGTGATTCGGCGTAACGTGTTGTGCCGACAACCACTCCCAAAACACCAGACACACCGATCCCATCTCGCGCTACGTCTCCCCCGGTCTCCTCCCCAAATATTAACCATCCACACCGCGCGCATCTTCGTTTTCTCGATTCCACTCGGAAACAAACCACACCGCCGCTTTGGTGCCCTAAGGGTTCCAGCCACGGACTCTTGCGGGAACCCCTGCATCCCGGCGCAATATGGCCGCGACGTCTCCCCCGGAGGTCCCGGCTCGCCCGTAAAAAATGAAAAACGCCGACTTTTTCGAAATCCTCCACGACCCAGCCCCGCTCCTTGGTACTTTAGCCTCTGTTTGTCCCCGGGTTTTCTCTCCTAGCGATCCGGATCGGCCCTCCGCCTCTCTTTCCCAATTTCCCCGACCACCCTCCCCGTCCCTCATGATAATTCATAACCCATTTGGAGAGCAAACTTTTCCCGGGGATCGGGTAATCGGCCCGGCCGAGTTTGGGTCTCTTCGTCACCTCTGGCGCGGAACCGCCTCTTTGGGGAGGGGAAAAAATCGAAGAGAAATCCCAAAAAACGATCGAGACGCCCGATTGTTTGGGGAAGAGTTACCGATAACGGCGTGCATTACCGCGGCCCGCCTTTCACGGGATTCATTTTTTTATTTTCCCTTATTTCCTCCTTTTTTCGTTCCCTGGGCACCAGGGCTGATGGCCCCCGTAATATCTCTCTGCCCGGCGTTCTCCAACTCGCAATGAGAAATACGGAACGATTGCCACTATCAAAAATCTCTCCCTAGCAATAACGCCGTACCGCGTGCCGTTTCGGTGGTGCGGTATCTCCGCTGATGCGCCTTCTGTCAACAATATCACATGCCCATTATTCGTCTCTACGAGCATTTCGTGGCGATTACGAGCGGCGAAGTCGACGCGTCCCGTCCGCAAGCCCCTTCTCGCGAGAAATTTCGGCATCGCTTTAACCCGGCCTAGGTATATTGCCCGGTTTTAATCGACCCACTGACAAGGAAAATTCCCTAGTGACTATACCGCCCATTTAACGCGCGGAATGACGACCCCTTAATAGCCCGTTCTAAACAACCCCATAGACGAATTCTACCTTCCGGCGAAATCGCAAATTCACTTGGCGAAACGTTCGACCTCAATGGCGGGCAACTCAAAAAGGGTTCGTTAAAATATGACGTCAATCTAAATCTTATTAAAGATTTTTATTGACGCACTAAACAGGGCGGCCGCTGAACGCGCTTCATTGTGGGGAGGGAATTTTCGGTGCATTTTTTCCAAGCGACCCTTTTGTTTCTGGCGGCCCAGGTTTGCATAACGGCGACTAGGAAATGAAAATTACGCTTCCGGCTCGGAGTCATGACCCAGACGAGGACGTAAGGTCGCAATTCGAGAGCTTTATCACGCGAATCCGTGCTTTTTATCGCGTTTTTTTTTCTCCCTCCACCGTAAAATGGGCGCGAAGTCGTTGCAACGAAGCGAGGGTGCGAGAAGAGTAGAGGGTAGGTGTTTTCGAAAATGTTGGAAAGTTTGAAAATTTGGGAAATTTGAGAAATTTTTTAAGCGATCAGGGACCGGAAGTAGCTCCCTGCGACTGCAGTGCGTTATCTCGAGAGGGGGTCTTCTCCTCTCCGGCTCGTGAAATATATTACACTTTTATGAGGGGGGAGGGAAAAAGAGACCGAGGCGTTTGCCGTCGGCCTTTTAATAAAGTCCCATTAAAGTTCTGGCCCGAGGACACGTTATCGACTTGGCCGAAGAGCCAGGACAATATCGACGCTTCCTTCGGCACTTCGTTACGGGAGGAAGTTCCCGGAAGGCGAGGCCCTCTGCTCCCGGGAACTTCTTTTCGCACTCCGGTGAGGCCGACGAACTTCCGCCAGAAATAGGAGCCCTTTAATTGGATATCAGCCGACACGACCTGCGATAATTGGTCGGTGTCGACCCCTTGGTGCAACCGTTGTCCTCGAGATCGCTCCATAACTCCATATCGAAGGGTCCTTTCCAGTAATCTTGCTCTACGACAAGGTATACCAGATTTATTCCAAGAGACATACACCATACAACACCACAAACCTCGGAGGACTTGGTACCGCGCGTTACAGGATCCAACGAGTGCAGTAAAGGGTTAACAATAATCTAAGCGTTCTCAAAAATCTCAGAATCCTGCAGCGAGTGGCGTCAAACCCCGAGACACGAGGCCACCAACTGGAACACGAAGGAGCAGACTTCCCAGGAGGAGCGCTCACTGTAGATCCGAGTAGCAAGGATACATGATCTTTTTCTCAGAGTACATAATTTCCTACACATAGGTACATTGACATTGGAGGAAGGGCTCGGGACGTCGTTGCAAAGTGGACCCTGGAAGCTATGCAACGAGCGGTACCGAGTTCCGTCCGACACTAGACCTTAGGACTTGGAGCCGGTGGGCAGGGAAGGAGCCAGCTTTTACGGAGTCTCTAGGGAAAAAGGTTTGGGTGACCACCCACCAATACGGAGTCTTTGTTTTGGGTTCCAGTGCCGCCCACGATAGCTCCCTTTAGCTTTAACAAGGACCTCTCGGAGGGCGTGCGCGCCCAGGTGACGTGCATGATCGAAAAGGGCGACCCGCCCTTCACGTTCGTCTGGTCCAAGGACGGCGAGACGTTCGCCACCTCGGAACCGGCGGGGTTCGGTGGGTCTGGCCTGTCGGGGCTGTCCACTCCTAGAGTGAGCCGGACCCCTGGACTCCTCGTGACCAGCATCGACGCGCATTCCAGTACGATTGTGATCGAACAAGTGACGGCCGCTCACACGGGCAACTATACTTGCCTCGCCCGCAACTCGGTGGCCGAGGTCTTTCGGACCGCCGAATTAGTCGTTAGTGGTAAAGTAGACCCGCCGGTCCTGATCGGAACCGAAACGGCATCGAGGCTCGCTGGCACTTTCGCACCGGCACTGGCGCACCCTCGGTGCACCCTCGGCTGGACGCGCGCGAGCATGAGGCGAGCAGCAGACGCCAAAGCAGCTGAGCCACCGAAATCCCATCGCACCGAGCACCGGCACTCAGCACCAAGCACCAACGCAGTACCATTGCCCGATCCCGTGATCGCGGCCGCGCGCATTTCCGACGCCCCGAGGCCCTTGGGATGCGCGTCGGTCTCGTTCCATGTCAGCTCGCCTCGCGATATCGCCGCGAGAGGACGTAAGATCATGAAAACGTAAGACCGGGGGGGCGTAAGACCAAAAGGACGTAAGACCCTCGCCATCGACCTCGGACAGGGTTCATCAGGGTGGGTCGGAAATAGCGATGTAACGAATCGAACACTTTGTCCATGCGAGTGAATAAACATTCGATTTTGAAAACGTTACCAACATGAATTTGGGGGATGAAAAGTTGACTCAAGTTTGACGACTTGGAATATTCGACTCGTCGCATCCTTAGCTTGGCACACGGGGATAATGATATGGGTTTTGCAACGACTTTCGAAGGGGAAGGGCTTCGAATTCGGACTCGACAGGGCGCTCCCTTGGAAGGGATGTAACGGAGCATTGCGCAACACGCTCCTGTCGGATATCGAGATCTACTATCTCTCTCCCGGAAAAGCTGAATCCCCTCAAATTCGAACAATTAGCGGGACAGTTAATTGCCTCGATAACGGCGCGCCGGTAACGATCGGCTCTGTAGGCACTGACATGGATTTTTGAGTTGCGCTCATCTGCATTGCAAATCGCATGAAACACCCCCCACCTAGATCCTGAATCGGCACAAGTTCCACCTCGGTATCGAGTCATTTCGAGGATGATACTCCTCGTGACGTTACGAGGGAAAATAAGGGGACGAAAATGTTGCACTAACGCCCCAGCACACACCGAGCACGTATTTTTCACAAATTTCACCGACAAAATTTCCACCCCACCCCTCCCGATCATTAGGGTCCCTTTTTATCGCCAATTCCTTACTTCGATCCCCTAATTGTCTCACGACTCGTTGCACACATCACTTGAGTGAAAATGTCTGCACAGCACCGGTTTGATCACGTTGTTATCTCTGCACATGGTGTTTCGTGTCTGGCACTTATCTCGTCGGAACTCTCGACATGACCGAAGTGTCCGAGTCCTCTGTGAGCGCGTGCTTTTGATTTTTGTCACAACCCTTTGTTTTATTCTTTTCCTCCCCGTTTTGTTCGAGCGGGGAAACCAATTCGGGCGAATTTCAGACTAGGTCAATAAATCGGAAGAATTCGCTCACGGGACTTTTCAGACTTCCGCCATGCCGTCGCACTTCCAACTCGAATTCTCTCGGCACCGCGGCTAAAGGAAGGAACTCCGAAAATTCTGCAATCGTCCCGCGAGTCTCCAAAATTCCGAGAATTCCTGCGAAATAGATATCCGCGCTAAGCTCAAGTACACGCAGTTGCACCTTGCCAGTTTATTAATACGCGCTCACGCTTTTCGTAATGCGCCAAAATGCAGCACTTAGAGATGCAAGGCAAGGCGTCTGGACTGGGACGATTTTCTCGTCCAAAAATAATTACAATTATTTTCAAAATCGTTTTAGACGCAATTATTATTTTAGCAGAATTGTTAGAAGAGTGGGAAGGACCATCGGCACCAGTTCTGACGTCTTGCCAGTTTAGATGCTTTGCAGGTAGACAATGAATTAAATTGTTGTTTATTTCATTCGCGAATAGTTCCTCCTCGATGGGTGATGGAACCCCAAGACGTGCAAGCTCAGGAAGGAACTTCACGTTTGGTTTTACACTGCCACGCCGATGGATTTCCTCCCCCCGCGGTTACATGGCGCAGGGCGTCGGGGAAAAGACCCGGCAATTATCACGCGATCGCAAATCACGAGCAAATCCAGGATCTATTGATCCATAGCAACGGATCGCTGGTTTTTGGCCGAGTCCAGGAAGACCACGAGGGCTTTTACCTCTGCGAGGCCATCAACGGAATCGGTGCTGGCCTCAGCAAAGTCGTCTACTTGACCGTCAACGGTAGGTTAAATAACGTTAGATGATTTTTTCTTTAATTTCCCAGGACCCCGACGAGTAACGAAAAATTATGAGTTCATTTTATCTCGAAATTACCGGTGCATTGTTTGACCATTTCGCAAATTTTATTCCCGCGAGCATAAATTTTGTACGCGATAACGAAGCGCAGTACGGCATAATTAACACTGGCCCCAAAAATGCAAGCACGCGATTAGCCAATTTTCTAGCATTTAACCATTGAGAGGTGGTTGAAATGAAATGAACAAATTTTGAGAATCGTCATAACATTAGTCACGCGTTGAATAATAATTCCGTTTTAACTAGACGAGCGGAAGAGTGGCTGTACTAGAGGACTATTACCTTTTCATTTCGACATTTTACAGTTCTGATTTTAAGATTTAACGATTCTTCGCCACAGCTCCTGCCCATTTTGAAGAGAAGCACCGAAATCAAACGGCGCCTCTTGCGTCGAGCGCGTCATTGCGATGCGAGGCCAAAGGAGATCATCCCCTAAAAATCGAATGGCGAAAGGCTGGCTCCGATCACCGATATTTAGGAAAAATTGTAAACACGACTGATGGGGTAGTTGGTATCCTAGAACTGGTCAAAACGACGAGGGAAGACAGTGGCCGGTACATTTGCATAGCCTCGAATGGATATGGACGAGACCAGATGATGATTCATTTGTATATACAAGGTAAATGACATAATTCTCATAACAGGTGTATAAACCACAAACCTGCAATCTTCTCCTACGATCGATCAGTCACTAAATGTCGGAATATATTTGTTCGGAATAATTTTGTTCAAAACTTAAGCGGCACAAATTTTCCTCGACAGAGCCTCCAGATTTCCCGAGGAATCTTCACGTGATCGAAAAAGGCAGTCGGTTCATTAAACTGGGATGGAATACTAGCCAAGATGGCAACAGTCCAATAATCGAATATATCATTGAATATAAGACTGATTCAGGTAAAATTCGTCTTTACGTATAAAACTACCCATACGGGAGAAGTTAGGTTAACTTGACACATTTTCATTGCAGAAGTCTGGCACGATCATACGTTTCACAGCACCGTGCCAGGTTCCCAATCCTACGGTGAAGTGAAGGGTCTGCGACCAGCAGTAAACTACCAATTTCGCATATTTGCGAAGAATAAATTAGGCCGGAGTCAGCCGAGTGATGTAAGCATGAGGAGTCAAGAAGAAGACGGCCCTTGGTCGGTAAAATACGCATTTCCTTTCTCCCTTCAGATATTGCCCGCAACGACGGAAGGAGAGAACCCAGGAGGACCTCCCAGAAACCTGAGAGCGGATCCCCTAAGCTCGACCGAATTAAAGGCGACCTGGGACCCACCGGATCACGACCTCTGGAACGGGGAGATCCTCGGGTACCACGTAGGCTTCAAGGAGCACCGGTAACTAGCCAAGATCGCTGCAATTCGATATACCCTACCAAGCCACGCAACTATACTGTCTCTTTGAATCCGCGACCAGGTTAGCAGCCGAGCGGTACACGTATCGAACGGTGGAGAGTCGCATCTCGGTGGCCAACGCCGCTCTGGGACTGACTCGGACCTCGGTTCCTGGTCGAGAATACCACTTGACGAACCTGAAAAAGTACACTCCATACAGCATAGTAGTCCAGGCGTACAACGCCCTGGGTCCAGGACCCATGACTGCAGAGGTTGTCGCCACTACTATGGAAGATGGTGGGTTTACCAGCACCCGTTGGATCGACCGAAGTGGAATTAAAATGTCATATGATGTTGCAGTTCCAACGAGTCCGCCGCAGGACGTCCAATGCACTGCCCTATCGTCTCAGATTTTACAAGTGTCCTGGAGTCCGCCTCCGGACTCCAGCCTGAACGGGGTCCTGAGGGGGTACAAGGTGGTCTGGGAGAGCACGGACCAGCTGACCGAGACCACCAAGTCGGAGGCGAAGAATACAACGGCCCTAACGGTGACGATCAACGGCCTCGAGAAGTACACGAATTACTCCGTCCAGATCCTGGCGTTCACCACAGCCGGCGACGGGGTGCCGTCCTACCCCCTTTACTGCATGACGAAGGAGGACCGGCCGGAAGTCCCGGCTGCGGTCAAGGCGGTGGCCAGCTCCTCCACCTCCATCCTCGTGTCCTGGCAGCCACCGCTGCGACCCAACGGCGTCATTCTGTCCTACAACATCCACTTCCACACAACCGGGGGCGAGGGGAAGTGGAACCGGCGATCCTCCCAGGCCCACCAGACCAGTTACCAAATCGATAACCTGCAGAAACGCCAATACGAATTCAGCATAGCCGCTGTAACCTCCATCGGGGAAGGTGCCCGAACGCCCACGGTTTTGGCCTCGCCTTCCAGCGAAGGTACACACCGACAATATGGATTTTCGGATAGTCGATAACTCGGTAACTCATTGATTGAACTCGCTCATGCGGCGCTTTTCATCCGGGGATGAAGCGAGGGATGGATTAATGATACTCGTGAATCTCGCCGATGATCGCACCCCTGCCTATACGCGATTTATCGCTAATGTTGGGTTTGGAGTTTTCGGATAGGAGCGAACGAGATAGGAGCTTCGAAAAGCCGGTTTGGTGGTTTTAAAGGACTTCTTGTTCCAGTGCGCGCCGCGATATACGCTTTTGGGAAGACCCTCGTGGTGGCCTGGAAGAAGGACGTGATCCTGCCTTGCCAGAACGTTGGAAAGCCCGAGCCCTCCGTGAAATGGAAGCACTGGGGTCAGATGGTAAAGGGCTCCTCCAGGATGTCGACCAAGTCCGATGGCTCTTTGCAGATCGTGGATTTACACAGGGAGGACAGTGGGAATTACACCTGCCAGGTTGAGAACGGTCATGGCTCGGATAAGATCACTCATCGACTGATCGTCCAAGGTAAGTCGAGGTGTAAACCTCGATCATCGAGGAGAATCATAGAAGACAGGGTGGTTATCGAGATTTGTTACACTTTCAGTGCCACCGGCTGCTCCTATTTTGCACGCCACCGGCTCCACCAGCAACTCCATCAAGGTCCAGTGGAAGAACAGCGACGACGGCGGGGCTCACATCAAGGGGTACATCCTCCACTATAAACGCGAATTCGGAGAATGGGAGGAGGTCAAGGTGTCCCACAGGTTCAACAGCTTCCTCTTGTCGAAGCTCTGGTGCGGCACAGACTATCAGATCTACTTAACAGCCTACAATCGGATCGGAATGGGCTCCCCCAGCGACATCGTGAAGGCCAGGACCGAGGGCTCGAAACCCGAGTCGTCGCCGGCGAATGGCGACAGATTCATTACCGTCAATGTATCCTGGATTACTCTACACTTGAGTACCTGGAACGACGGGGGGTGTCCGATCACCTACTTCGAGCTGGAGTACAAAAAGACCGACGAGGACCTCTGGACTCTGGTCTCCAATAACATAGAAGTACGCTCGTAACCGCGCAACTCGTTCCTTTATATTATCTAGGAATAGGTAATCGATGCAAAATTAATGGTCCGAAATTAACGACCTCGCCATTTTAGATCCAGAAGACGTACACCCTGAACGAACTGCAGCCAGGTACAACTTACGAAATCCGCGTTCGCGCCCACAACAACGCCGGTTCCTCGGTGGCCGAATACGAAATCACGACTCTTCAGCCTCACACCAGCTCCACGGTGCCTGCCATCGAGATCGACCACTTTATACCTCAACAAACACCCGTGTACTCCGATTTGAAGCTGATCGTTCCCCTGGTGCTAAGCTCGTTCGCAGTGATCGCTGCGGCCGGCGCTGTATTTTACTGCTTCAAGAAACGTGAGTCGCCACAATTTCCGGAAAAGTTCCATCCAAAATTGCCCCCCGTTGTTAGTCCTAAGAGACGCAATAAAACGGAGGCGCGTCTTACGACAGGTCCCTTCATGGGTGATCTAGGAAGTCTCCACGATGCCCAGACCGCGGCTGCTCTGGACAACAAGCAGAACATGGAACAAAGAGAGCAATACTACGCGACCGTTCGCAAACCTCTGCGCTCCCCGATTCACGAAATGGGCACTTTGGAGAGGATACCAGGTACGTGATGGTCAAGGTCCTCTGCAAACAGAAAAATGATCTCGCGATAACGTGCACGTTGCAAATGCCCTTTCTCTCCGTTTTATAGAGAACTCGGAGGACATCTACCCTTACGCGACGTTCCAACTGAAGAAAAGCGTGCCTGCTGGCGAAAGTCGCTGCGAGTCGGCAGCCCCGTTGCAGACTTTCGTCTATCACGACCCTCGACTGCCGACTGCGGATACGCTCCAGCTACGGGAGGTATGCATCTCTGCCCGGTAGCTCTCGCCATTCCCCTCATCACATCAAAAGCTTCGTAGTCTCCTTCGTCGACCTCGCCGATCGCGTCTCTCGCGAAGATCAAAACTCGAGTCCACCTTTTCCCCGTCAGACACCTCGTCGAGGTGCTCTAACGAGACCGGTACCAGGGAGATGCGTCTACTCGCGGTGAAGTCCAAATTTGGCGAATTCCCTCCCCGGTTCCCCTGCTTGCACTGGCATCTCGTGTCATCCGGTATCAGTTGAAATCATCCCGGTTGATTCGACGAGGACCGCCCACGTCGAAGGACGTGGCCTTAGAGTCAGGGCGTTCGATCCCGGCGCGCCGTCAATCGTTGCGACTGCTGGTCCCCCAATGCTTCGTTTCGCGCCAGCTCGATCGGTCTCGAAGATCGAACCGATCGAGGCCGCCGATTGCGGGGAGCATCGAATCAATCCAATTCCGTCTGATTGCAGTCGGATTGCAACCGGTACTCTAAGGTGCGCGGAGGCCGTTCGTCCTCTGCACCGTTGTATAAAACGCACAAGGCCATTCAAGGCAAGTCCGAGTCGGAGGAATACGACACCCTGGGCTCGGACAGCGACACGGAAGTCGGGACCAGCAGCCGAACTGAGTCTTCCAATCACCTCGTCGATTCGCACCATTTGGCCTCTGCGGTTGATACACGCGTGCACAGTACGCCACCCACTTTGCACCGTTTTCTCGGTAGTCTTCTGCCTGACTCCTGTGGCCTCGCTGGAACCTGCTGTGCTCCCGTCTTACCGCTTGCACGAACTCCGTCTGCTCCCACCAGTCCACCGGAAAGTAGGAAGACGCGGTATCACGGTATTTTGCGTCCCCCTTGGGTCCTCGAGTTCACCAGTCCGCATACGCGGAGTTCCTCGTTCCCTGATACGCGAGCATGGTCCCGGCGAATGGCCCGAACGCTTCGCTCTCCGTTCTCCACCCCTGCAAAGCATTTGATTCTAGAGGTACCCGTAGATCCCCTCGCGGAGGTCCTTGCTGGCCCCGGTCACTCGACGGGCGCGATGCATCCCTGACCCGGATAGATTTTTCTCGATCACGGACCGGCACCTGCCCGAGGTATCAAACCTGCTGCTTAAGCCTCGTCTTCTCTTGCAGACTTCCTGTACCATGGACCACAATCTAGCACGACTACAGAACCCTCACCGATTTTTGAGGGAAAATCGTTTCCTGGACGGGGAAGACCCAAGTAGGTTTCAATGTGGAATCCTCGACGGTGCTCCGGCGGTACTCATGGTTCCTCTTCTCCTGCAGGATGCTACAGCTGGCGCGTTATACCAGCGAAGAGACCGATCCAGTCTTCGGGGCCGTCGCCGAGTTTGGTAATACCAAGCACCAGTCGAGCTGTTCCATCAGGGATCAGGAGCGTGACGGGTGCGGAAGCATGTTCGTCCCCAAGCTGGAGCCGCCCTCAGGCTTCTCCGACGCGGTTGAGCTAAGCGAGGCCGAGTGCGACCTGGACATCGGGCAGCGCAATCGGAGGAATATTCGTGGCTTTGTTATTACGGTGTAAATAAATATCCATGCGTAATATCCGTAACGTGCGGCCGGCCGGTAGTGTCGGCCAGAATCGGTGTAAAAGGGGGTCCATCGTTGACCGAGGAAATCGGGTGTTCTATGGTTCTATCTAAGCTCCGTGTCTCTGCCAATCGGGACGCCCTGCATTCGGGAAGCGCGCTACTTTACCGACATCCGAATGCCCGGTGGCGGCTTCCGCCGCGGAGTCTGTAACATTGTGTTTTAGAAGATTTTAGATTATTTATATCCCGTTTACTTTGTAAAATATACAGTACTTTGAATTTCATCCGCCCGGCTGGCTTGGCGTTCATTTCCATGCTAGACACCAAGCGGACCGGTCGAAGGGGATTTTCGAGATCCTCGTCAAACCTGGGAGTGAGGCAAGCATTTTTTATTCATGGATATATCAAGGATCTTTAATGACGAATGAGTGTCCTTTTGGCGTGGGATTCTCAGTCAGATTCTCACGAGGATTAATGCAGCGAACGAGCGATTGATATTAATAGCACGAAGGATATCATGGTTCCCGGTGACTGATAACGTTGCGAAAGTGCTTGGATAAGGAAAGTATACGGTATCGGTGACGGATAAGCAGCTACTGTACCGACTGCAAATATTCATCCATCCGACTCTACGTGATCTCGAAAACGTCGAAATTAAATGTTTTCTACATACGGTACCAACCAACCAACGTTCCTATTGATCGAATTCTTGTTTCGGTCGGTAATCCAGAAATCATATAAAAAACGCCCTTACATCGTATTGATATTTAATATCTCGAGGATCCACCTCTCGGCGTAATCCCAAACGACTTGAACGTCGAGAAAAACATTCGATATCCTTTAGGTTTATTTAAACGACCTCATAACATCCAGGATTGATAATCAATCGTTTTCAGAAGGATCAATAATTAGGATCGAAGACTCTTCGTTAGGATCCATGCTTATCTTTAGCCGCCAAGTAGCTGCGGGATTACAAAGAGTTCCCTAAATTTGGTAATTAAGTGCCCAGTTCTCTAAAATGATGAAAAATCACCAAATGGTAAATAATTTATTATTTTTCTCGAGCGTGTCGCGGCCTAAGATACTTCGTTCCAAGATTGAAAGAAATCATCGGGAGTCGCAGGGTCCAGGCGAATCGTGGCCGACTCGAATGGCAGCATCCAACGTTTCCCAGTATGGACCCGTTTTCCCCGGAAAGCGAAGCAAGCATGCGCGAATTTTCCACCCTGTTTTAGGATACTATGAGCGGTGGCGTCTATGGTGGAGGTAAGGCTCGTCCTGCCGGGATTATTTTCGAAAAGTCTCAGGCCGTGGCTGGCTAATTTCTCGGACTTGTCTCGCCGGCAGATGAAGTCGGGGCGGTCATCTTCGACATCGGCCACCAAAGTCTTCGCGCTGGATATGGTGGAGAAGACAGCCCGAAGGCCGAAATTCCGTCGAGCCTTGGAGTATGGGAGGACCCCGTGGAATCGCCCCAGACCGCCCATGTGTCCAGGAAGCGGTACAACATCGACGTCAATTCGATCCAGATTAGAAAGAAAGGTACCTTTCTTCATCCCCGTCGTCGTTCTACTCGACTAAGAAAATATTTCTTCAGACATGGAACTAGTTAGTCTGATGAAGGACGGCATGATCGACGACTGGGACATGTTCGAGAAACTTGCGGAGTACACGTACAAGCAGCGACTCCATGCTCTGCCAGAGCATCATCCGATTTTGATGACCGAGTGCCCCTGGAACACCAGACTTAAGCGAGAGAAATTGCTCGAGCTCATGTTCGAGAAGTTCAACGTCCCGGCCATGTACATTTGTAAAAACGCCGTTTTGGCAGCCTATGCCAACGGCAGGTCGACGGCGATGGTCGTTGACAGTGGAGCTACCCATACGAGTGCGGTGCCGGTCCATGATGGGTACGTTATCACCCAAGGTATCGTCAAGAGTCCATTGGGTGGAGATTTCGTCACCATGCAGTGCAGGCAGTTCTTCGAAGAAAGGGACATCGAACTCGTGCCGGCTTACATGGTCGCCAATAAAGGTAAACACCTCGCTTGAAAGTATAGGAAATTACGATTAATTGGATGTTTTAATTTACAGAGATAGTGCGCGAAAGAGAAGTACCTCGCTGGACTCGAAGACAGGGACCCCAGCCGACCGCCACTTGGACCAGCTACATGGTCCGGGACCTTCTGCAAGACTTCCAAATGAACTGCCTTCAGGTGTCGGACAGCCCTTACGACGAGGATATTGCCAATACCCTGCCGATGAAACATTACGAATTTCCTACCGGCTATAACGATGACTTTGGCTCGGTGAGGCTTATGATACCGGAAGCTCTTTTTGACCCGAGCAACGTCAAAGGTGTCGGAGCCAGCATACTCGGGGTTGGTCCTTTGGTCACGACCAGCGTTGGCATGTGCGACATCGACATTAGGCCTGTGCGTCCTGGAATAATATTTAATTCGTTAAAACCTTGAAATAAGTAACTCTGTCAGTCAGTTGTCCACCTATCTTTCAGAATCTGTACGGAAGCGTCGTTGTGACTGGTGGTAACTCCTGTCTTCAGGGGTTCAGCGAACGGCTTAACAGAGACTTAGCCAGTAAAACTCCCCCGGTATGTCAGGCTTTTTTCCTTCGTTCGGGATATTTTCTATGGTAATAATTGATGTAATGTTTCAGAGCATGCGACTGAAAATTATAAGTGCAAATAGCGTGAGCGAGCGTCGCTTTGGCGCCTGGATCGGCGGTTCTATATTAAGTTCCTTGGGATCCTTCCAACAGATGTGGTTGTCTCGTCAAGAATACGAAGAGTCTGGAAAACTGATCCTAGATCGATGCTCTTAATCGGGTATATACCTAATGATGTGGAACGGATATCGAGAAGCGAAGTAGCGAGAGAAGAAAAGACTTCCTGAATATGTCTTCTCGAAAAATGTTTCGTCTCGTCGCAACGGAAGACTGGTTTCCTCACAGATAATCTCCTTTTGGCAAAACTTACGATAATTAATATAAACGAAAGTTCCTCGTTAGGTGAAATTGAATTCTAAAGGTGAAAAAAAAAGTTAGATGTTAAGTTTAACGAAACAAAGTGGCGAGATTATTGAGCCCCTTTTGAAAGATGTTTATTTTTCAATACATCGAACGTATTCATTTGCATCGTGTCGTCCATGAAAACCAAAAGTGTGCAGTATACTAAGGATGTCCTGCCATATTTTATGCTTCACGTAGCATATCGTACAATTTAAGTAGTTAGGTCCTATATGCATGAGTACATACATGGTTTAGTGAACATATAAATGGCGTACTGGTAATCGGTTTAAACAATCCTTTTGTACACGAACGATCTCATTTAAAATTACAGTTTTCGATATATCCGACCTATCTTTTTCCAGATACACGCATTCGTATTGTTGTACTACTCCTGGTTAAATCGGCAATCGTGTAGCAAAGACTAATCAAGGCAATAATTGTATGTTTCAAACTTAAGTATAGGTGGTAACTGAACGTAATCAAACTGAATCAAAAATAAAAATTCCTAGTCACTTTTCTTTGCGCAGCACTTTATTCAATATCCGGTTCCTCTTATAAAAATTGCCTACTTTGTGAATGGATGTGAATGAACGAACACGCATTTATTTATGATAATGTAAAAAAAACTACTTTCCTATTACTGATTACCGAGCTTGCCAAAAGCTCCACATAGTGGCAGCACTGGAGGAGGCCAATGGACATCTAGCTCTTCCCTTTTATTGCTGCAAATTACGAATTGTAATTATTTTATTAGGATGACATTACGTAGCTACCACTTGTCTACTTTTTACTTTGCCTTGTCCGTCTTTTTTAATATACAATCCTGTCATATACCAGGCAGATTAACGTCTCTATTTGCGTGTCGTGATCATACATAACCTCATTCGCCGGAAGAGTACATCTTTGGGAAGAATTAGAATTTAAATAAAATCGGGTCTACGTTAACCCAGTTATATAAGCGAAAGTATAGAGCAATGCTTTTTAAGATATTTTACATGTGTTGATTATTTGTTTATTGTATTTAGAAAAAAATATGAGGATCCTGCCTGCGCTCTACCGTGGGAGATTTCCTCAAAATGAGGCAAAAGTAAAGTTTATAGAACAACTTCCATTGAATCTCAGGAACAAGATTTCCAGCAAAGGAAATTCAGGAAAGGGTATGTCAAGTTATTACCTATCAAGTTTTTATTGCATACTTTTATGAACTATGAATGTTTTTATAAATTCAATTCAATGCAATATAAATCGGAAGAATTTATAAATGGAAATTTATACGATACACTGTAACGAGTGTTTCATTTCAGAACGAGGATGTTTATATGAAATTACACTTTTATTGAACTGCTTACAAACTAATGCATTTGAAGAAAAGTTGTGTTCAAAGGAAGTAATGAATTTTGAAAAATGTTACGATTCTTACATTACTAAGTCTAAGGTCAATAAGGAAATGCAGAAAAAGGGAATACTTGTACCCGGTAGTAAAATGCTCACACATAAACAGCTGAATGTGCTCTTTAAGAAATATCCTCATGAAACGAGAAAAATGTAGAGACTTTTTATTGATCTGTATTTAAACGCACCATGCTGTATTTCCTATGTATTACAAACCGCATACAATAAAAATGTTAAAAAAAAATAAAATATAGAATTGTCCATAAAATAATAAATTTGTATATAAAAATACTTGTAATGATATACATTGATTTATTTTACAATTATACAAATACAGTATGATAAATATATATAAATTATTTCTTATCATTAAGGAATGTTCATGAGCATGTTTATTTGATTTTTGCAGATACTGATTATGTATTAATTTCATTTTATATAAATGTAAATACTAGAGATCTTGCTGTATAGTTTTCAATCGCTTAAGTGCCAATCTCTTAGAATAACCTGCAATTAAAAATAGGAACCATTGATACAAGAATATATTAAATTAATACAGAAAAATGTTTAGCTTACTTACGAATAGGTTGATGACTGACTTCGTATAAAGAATTTAGTTGGCATTCTATACGATGCAACGTCTTGCAATTTTCTATTTGTTCATCTTTGTAAAAACAGTAGGTATACAGTAACATTACAAAACAAAGACAGAGTGCACCTTTGCGAAACATCCATGTAATTTCAGTCAACTGAAACTGTTTATAGGCGGAATGTGATTTCAACTTAATTCCTTTACAGGTAACAATATTTTCCTTTACAGAAGATGTCCCTTACCTCGTTATCAATTACAGTAGTCTTCAAATTATTGTAATACTGAACTAACATCCTTTCTATTACAACATTTAAACTCAATATTGTGAATAGTAAAAATCTAGCATCTGCTGTCTTTTTAGAAGAACTGAATAATGCACACAATATGCAGCTAACTGTATAATAAATAATGGACTGGAACCATGAAACTTCATCGATAACCCAAGTTTGGAATGTACGCAGATAAGAAAAAATTTGATAAAGTAATTCTTTCTGACCTTTAGTTGATTCTCTGAAATAGAAATCTCACATTGTATTAAATTTTCTAATTTGCAATTAACTTTTTATTTTTTTTCACTCACTTAAAATCAACAACCATGTCACTGACTGTTTGTGATGAATCTTTTATAACACTTCCAAGTTCTTTCCCATGATCCAAAAGTTCATTTTGAAGTCGTAGTCCTTCCTTTTGACTTTCTAACATTGAATTTTGTATTTGGGAAGCCTCAATTAATTGTTCTTTCATGACAGATGTAGCTTGATATAACCTGCAAATTGTAAAGTTAAGAAACAAAAGTATTTGTTTTTCAGAAAAAATAAATATACTTACTGTTTTATAGTATTTTCAGTTTCAGCACGCCACAGCTCATGATTCAAGAAGAAACAAATGTTTGTTGCATGTGTATAAAATTCATTATATACAGTAAACGCTCTGTCTGTCATACTGCTAATACATTCACTGTAAAAGAAAATTACATTTACTTGAATTAAAAATGTAGCAGAAGCAACGTTTTTAAAAAGTACTCAAGCTTACCGTCTTTCATCTTCTGTTTGTTTCATATAACAATCATATGTGATATGACCCGAATCCTCTAGGAAGCAGTTGGCTAACATAAGAGCCAAAATGGAATGTTCACGATCATTCAAATTTTTACAACTACCTTTCATCTTCCGTAAAGCACCATGCCAACACGCTCCATGCTGTGATACTGCCGTTTTAACTTAAATAATAACATAACTATCAGAAAAACAAGAGCTAAATGAATGTTGTTATCATACTAGAATATTTTTTGTCCTTTACCTTTTATAACATTGTACATTTTTTCACCCGAGTCTTTTAAAACTGTGTCGCCTTCATAAGCGAATACACAAAATAAAAAATACAGAAGGAAAAACACTTCAACCACCGCTGATTTGAAAAGGAACATCACCTTCTCATGTAAGAGTAATTCCAACTGGTGGGATTATTTAATAAATTTCAAAAATTACTTAAATAAACGATTACTGTATTATATTATCAATAATTTGTGTTTCTAACGTTGAAGGCATAGAGGTAAATATTACAATTAATATTTTCTATATTATTTGGGATTCAAACAGTACACATACTAAGTACATAGCAGTTATATGAATATCGGAGTAACCGTTTAAAAACCCTCGACTTTAAAATCTGGACAATATCGTAGATGTAAGAATATTACGTCTATGGTCTATGCTCGTGTGACGGAAGAGGAAATACGAATTGGGCGCAAGGCAGCCATATTACTTTGTCTCTAGGCCTCAGCCAATCAGAAAGCAGTTATCTTCCCTATGCAATATGGTCGCGGACCACTTTCATCCCGTCCACTAGATTCCACTAGATTTGTCCTCCTCATCCTAGTTGAGATTTTTGCCTCAGTCCATTTATTCCTATGTTTGTTCATGGTTCATGGTGTTACTTGATGTCACAGTTGGTTACGATTCATTACAGTTTGTGATGTTTTTTTAACGATGCTGTTAATGGCAACAATACGGTAACAAGTTATTTTGTGTGCAACCCGTACAGCAGTTTTCCATCGCTTTGTTGGTGAGTTCTTAGTGCATTAGATCGAATTACATTTGTGAGCAAGGTTTTGTTTTCATTAAACAGGTGTAGCAACTTATATTTCAATAAACTACGAAGAACGTTTGATTGCTGCGCAAAAGCTCTATTGGCTGTTTGAATTTTACAATTTACGTTTAAACTAATTATTAAATATTTTTTCGTTGTTTTTTTCCCGCCAAACTAGTAGGTTATGTAGGTTATGTAGGTTATGTGAGGTAAATTTAACCACTTCGGTACGAGCGTCGACTATAGTCGACAGCCACAGATGAACGCACCCAGCCGAGCGTCGACTTTAGTCGTCAGCCAAAAGTTTTTACTTTATCTTGCAGTTGTAGGCGTATGTTGAGCTAATAAGTTACTACGAATCTGTGACCTTTTTACAAGTCCTTAGTAGGAGTTATTATAGTACACTTTTGATTCATGTAAGTAATAATATCATATACCTATTTCCGAGATTTTTCGTTTTTTATTTTTTATGTTACGTCTTAACTTTTGTAATTCTTAGACCCATAATGGATTCTGACGCGTCAAATGAAGGCAGCATCGTTTTTAGACGTAAAAACGTTACTTTAAAGAGGAGGAGGGAATTAATTCTATCGTCGGATTCAGAAGCAGAAGAATTAAAGGGAAAAGAAAACAATTCTACAGTAAATACGTGGTCGCGTGTAAACTTGGATCCACACATATACACGTTTGTTGATAAAGACTGTGGAATTAAAGCAGGAAATATTAATGATTCATTCAATATTTTGGATTATTTCAAAATATTTTTTTCCGACAATTTAATGACAGATATTGTTAATGCGACAAACAATTACTATCGATATACAGTTGCACATAGCGACATATCTCCTTCATTACAAAATTGGTCCGATGCAACAATAAATGAATTGTATACTTTCCTTGCATTAACGCTCATAATGTCTCGTATGAAAAAATTATCTATTAAAGAATATTGGAGTACTAATGAAGTGCTTAGAACGGATATATTCAATAAACATATGTCACGAGATAGATATTTAGTGTTGCTAAAGATGCTTTGCTTCGGCGATAAAGAATCTGAAAGTTCGGAAGACCGACTGACAAAAATTCGTCAACCTTTTGATAAGCTGCGCGAAACGTTCCAAAAATCATTTTGTCCGTTCAGGAATTTATGTATTGATGAGAGTCTCTTCCTTTTTAAAGGACGATTATTTTTCAAACAATATATACCATCCAAGAGAAATAGGTTTGAAATAAAATTATTTGTGCTGTGCGATTGTTCAACAGGATTCGTTTTGGATGTAATTGTTTATACCGGCTTAACTTCCGAAGTGCAAACATTTTCTGAAAAATTAGGTAAAACTGGCAATATTGTGGCAACATTGATGCAACCTTATTTAGGAAAGGGTCATCAATTATTCGTTGATAATTGGTATTCAAGTCCTGCACTATTCCAATATTTGCACAGCTTTGCAACAAACGCATGTGGGACAGTAAAAAAGCAATGTAAAGGTATGCCAAAAATGTCAGAAAAATTAGAAAAAGGAGATCTTAGTTTTAGATCATCGGGAAATTTGCTCGCACTGAAATGGCAAGACAAACGTGAAGTTTGGATGTTGTCCACTAGTCATTCAGCTGAATATAAAGATTGTGAAAAGAAAAATTATCAAACGGGTGAAAATATTCAGAAGCCTTCATGTATTATAGACTATAGCAAATCGATGAATATAGTTGATAGAAGTGACGCAATTATAAATACGGTTTCATCCATAAGAAAAACGCTGAAATGGTACAAGAAATTCTTTTTCCATTTATTAGACATTTCAATATGGAATGCATATTGTTTATATAAATTTAACACAAAAAGAACTATATCAATGTCCGAATTTCATTTGACATTAATAACAAAACTTCTAAACCAGTACTCTGAATCGAGGCAATACAACCCTTGTACTTCATCAGAAAACCTCATGCGTTTTAAAGAAAGACATTTTCCAGCACCGTACAATAGTAATAAAACAAAAAGGGAAAATCCATTGAGAAGATGTATTGTATGCTCAAAAAATAATAAAAGGTGTAGTACTAGATACTATTGTAAACAATGTAACGTTGGCCTATGTGTAGCCCCATGCTTCGAAATTTATCATACCAAGGAATAACATTTATCGTAATATTCAAAAACTTGCCTTATTTCTTTATGATATGAATGAAATAAAACAATAATGTTGAATTGAATTTTCTAATTTTTCATTCATCTAAATAAAATTGTGAACATTTAAAAATTCCGTAATAAAAACATATGCTATGCTGATTTACATTACAAGTAAAGCTGCCTGTAATGTAAAACAAGCTTTCAGTGCTTCAAAGCTTTCCTCATCAGAGTTCTGCAAAAGAGCAAAACGGATTCGTCACAAATGTACAGCACAAAATATCGTGCGGACTATGAGTGCCGGCTGTGGACAAGGTTTCGAGGCCGGTGTGCGCCGTACCGAAGTGGTTTTAAAGTAATGGGTACGACTTAAAATGCGACGCATTAAACGTTCTGCGACTTTACAGCTCGGTTATACGTTGTATATTGCTATTGTGTCATCATTCCATGACTACATATTTGCATTCAAAATTTTAAATAGGTTTACCGTTCTTTCAAATCTGCTCGAAAAGTAAACTATTCAATAAGATGTGACAAGTGCGGACCGTACTGTGAGATTACTTTCTGGTGGCCGATTTCAATAAGAAAAACAGAGTGTGACATAGTTTAAGGTCAGTCAACCACAACAAAGAGATTGCTTCTGTTATTAAGGATTTCTAAATTTATAAATGACTTTCTTTTATTTTGGAATACCAGTACAAAGTATTAATTAATCTCATAATTCAAAGCTGTATTAAATATTCGATGAAAATTGATTTAACCATTTTTTTGTATAGATTTGTTAAAATTATATAATTTTTTTCCTTTTCCAGAGAGCGTCTTTAGAAATAGTTTATTTAGCAGTTAAATATAGAAGATAATCATGTTTGGTCAAACTGGGAACACATCCTTCGGTACGTATACAAACTAATATTTTGTGGTATTACAATTATATTTTACAGCAGTTGTAAAACTAACATAGATGCTAACTAATTGATATTACAATTTGTTCTTCTCTCAAGGGGCATTTAATGCAGTAACTCAAAGTGGTCCATTTGGACAATCTGCATTTGGCAAACCTATTGCTACTACAAGTTTTGTCAGCGGAGCGACACCAGTATTTGGTAGCGGAAACACTTCCCTTTTCAGTTCTAAACCTACAGGTTCCACGACGGGTGGATTATTTGGTGGAACCACTACTACTCCAGCATTTGGACAAGCAGCGACAACCCAGTCTTCTTTTGGAGGTAATATATGTAATATATAAAATATGTCATAAGTATAAAATTCTCACAATCTCTTAATAATAATGGACAAGCAGCAACACCCCAGTCTTCTTTTGGAGGTAATATATGTAATATATAAAATATGTCATAAGTATAAAATTCTTACAATCTCTTAATAATAAGATCCAAATTCATATCTATTTTAGTTATATAATCTTTGTTATTGATTATATGCTTGTTTGTAGGCTTTGGAAACACAAATCCAAACACCAACTTATTTAGTACCCAGCAAAATGCAAATACAAGTCTTTTTGGATCCAGTAGTGGAACACAAGCATTTAGTCAAACAAATAAACCTGGAGGTTTCGGATTTGGAACCGCAACGGGATCAAATTTGTTTGGGCAAACCCCACAACAGACACAGCAGACTAGTCCTTTTGCACAGTCGAGTACCTCTGGAAACACAAGTCTTTTTGGTACAACAGGAGGTAATATTTTACAAAATGGTCTAATAATGGTTTTGAATGCATGAAGTTAATAATTATATCTAATGATTTACAATGTAATGTGATTTACTTAAAATATTTTCAGGTTTTGGAAATACCTCGGCCGCCTCAAATATGACCGGTACTGTTGTTAAATTTAATCCGGTTACTGGTACCGACACCATGGTGAAAAATGGAGTAACTCAAACTATTTCTACAAGACATCACTGCATTACATGTATGAAAGAATATGAGACAAAATCATTGGAAGAGCTTCGTTTGGAAGACTATGTGGCAGGACGCAAAGGAACTGGTCAAGGTTTGTAATGCAATATGTAGCCAATATTTATTAGGTCCTTCATTTGTCATAACTACTCTTCAGGTTTTGCACCAATGAACGGTGTATTTGGATCTGCAACTCAACCAGCATCGACTGTCCTTTTCGGAAAGCCTATGACTGGTTTTGGTGCACCAACAACTACCACTGGGTCATTTGCTTTCAACACTACAGCTCCAAATACTTTATTTGGTGCAAATAATCAAGCCAAACCGTTCGGTGGTAAGTTATTTTAAGATCGAAAGAAATTATTAACAAAGATATAATCTAATACAAAATTAAATCTGTGATCTGCATCCATAGGTACTCCTACTTTATTTGCAAGTACCAATACTAGTCAACCGACCACCACAGGATTTGGAGGTATTAATACTACCCAAAATACTGGATTTGGACCATTTGGAACTACCCAGCCAAATCAAGTAAGATTAGTCCACTCAATACATTTACGCGAATATATTTAATTTTATTTATGTCTTTTTGAACATGAAAGAAAATGGTGATAATCCACCTGACTTCTGTAGAGAAAAAATTATTGTTATGTCATTTTTCCTTTGGTTTCAGACTATTGGCTTATTTAATCAAAATAAAACGGCTTTCCCTACACCAGCAACTGCAAGTAGTACTGGGTTCGGTGGTTTCGGACAAGGCAGTCTATCCAATACCACCAACACCATCTTTAACGCAAAAGGGAACACTACCACTGGATTTGGTAACATGGGCACTTTTGGATCCACAACCACGCCAACTTTTGGATCGACTACTGGTTTTGGTGGAACTCAGAGTACCGGAAGTTCCTTATTTAATACATCTTTCAAACCTGCTGGAACTACCACTGGTTTTTCCTTCGGTTCCACACCTATATCCTCCAGTGGTCTCGGTAATGATTGTTTCTAAAATAAGTGTACTGTATTTATCACCGTCATTAATATTTCATTGAACTTTTATGTTAATAATATAACTTCAATTCATTTCTCATGCTCTCTGACGAAAGAAAATATTTATTTCAGGAACGAATACCGGATTGAACTTGAACACTGGAAACACTTTATTTGGTCAAACAAAATCTGGAGGTTTATTTGGAAGCGGTGGAACTAGTACATTTAACAATACTGGTGGTTTTGCACCATCTAATGGTTTTGGAACAAATACAAGCACCGTTCCTGGTTTTGGAACAAGTTTACTCGGAGGAGGGTAATTATTGATTATTACTCTGTTTTTTTAAAACATTAAAATTGAAAAAATTTGTATGCTGCTGTTTGTTATTTAATACTATAATATTTAGTGTAAAGGTATACATATAAATTTCAGAACTGGAATGAGCCAAACTCAGCAAAATTCAGGATCGGTCCCAGTACATCAACAAATCCTGGCTCTAGTCGCTGCTCCCTTTGGGGATTCTCCTTTGTTAAGAAATCTTCTACCAGTGAGTGAATCGTAATGCATCTATTTCTTCATTATTTATTTTAAAATATCTTTTTATCAACTTGCCATTGTGATTTTGTATCATAGGCTTCTGGAAAAGCAGAAGAACTGTTGAAACCTTCCACGACAGCATCCAAATCTTCAAGCAGTCCCCAATTCAAAGTCTCTACCAATTCAAAACCTGCAAAGATGAAAACTATAGCGATTAGTGTTGCACAATATTCCAAGGTAAATCATTATACGACTTACGCGAGTAATGAACGTCGCTATTGTGTCCTAAATATTCATTATTAATAATTTATTGCAGAAGTCGATATTTGAAGGCCTTGAGGAGGAAGATATTTCCTTAGTGGATGCGTTTCAACCACGGTCGAATGCAAAACGATTGGTTCTTCGTCCGAAAGCGATAAATGCTTCTGCGTCTTCACCAAGCGAGGGACAAGTTACTTTGTCGAATGGCGACGATAGAATTGATAAGACAGATCCTCTTAACCAGAACGAGGACAATGTTCCAGTTACAAACAAGGAAAACGATCTGCAAGGAACCAATCGCCAACTCGGTAACGACCGGAGATCTTCAACTTCCTGGTAAAATAATTATTCATTTGGTAACCGAATATGACCTATTTATTTTCAACCTATACATGTTGGTTTTAGGCTGAAATCTACCCTTTCGAGGAAAGCAAAACATCCAGATGAGGAATTGGAGGGATGTCAATCACCTTTCGGAGCAAACCTTCATGAAGAGATACTTGAAAATACAGTCGCAGAATTAAGGCCGCTCGAAGGCCAGAAGTCACACTTTCAACACTTAAATGATAGTGCAACATCTACGACCTCAAAATCCTCCAATAAAGGTGACACCTTGAACACGTCCGATTGCAATGCCGGTGAGGTGCTTCAAATTGTTATATAGATTTATTTGATTTAATTAAAGCGAAGTTAATTTTAACTCTTGCATAATTCGCATTGTTTTAATTCGTTTTTTATAGAATCTGTGGAAGAGGTCGATATTCTTCCAGGCCTGACAGATACTGATACTACTAATTTAGCCAATGTGACCCTTAATCGTGTGGGTTATTATACAATCCCACCTTTAGACAAATTGGACTACTATGTTCGCGGTGAAACTTGTATTGTTCCAAATTTGACGGTGGGTCGTAAAGACTATGGAAATGTATTCTTCCCGGATTCATTTGACATATACGGATTGAATTTGGATGAAATAGGTAAGCATAGATGCAACGTCTAATGTATGTAATGCGATTCATTTTAAGTAATAATTTTCTTTTCTGTGCAGTGCATTTTCGTCACAAAGAAGTCATCATATATCCTGACGATGAAAAGAAGCCACCTATAGGTCAAGGATTAAATCGTCTAGCTCAAGTCACATTAGACCGTGTTTGGCCACATGACAAAACTCTTCATCAACCAATTACTGATCCTCATCGCCTCGCAGCATTAAAGTATGAAGAAAAACTGCGCAGAGTCTCTGCAAAGCACGATACGCGATTCCTGGAGTATCGACCAGAAACTGGTTCTTGGGTTTTTAAGGTATATCCCTTGATGTGCTGTCCACCGAATGTCATTGCTCCACTCAACAATGCTTTTAAAATATTATTTTTTAGGTTCAACATTTCTCTAAATATGGACTCACCGATTCAGACGATGAAGACAGCAATTGCCCACCGGATGTAAAAAATAAAAACATTAATAATGCTGGTGTTATACCACAGAAAGCTGGCGATGCCTTGAAGCCGTTACAGAATTCAGTAGAAACGTTGAATGCTCCACAACAGGTTTAATTTCACGCACTGAGTCAAATTGTTTTGTCATTGTACACTTTTCCTTATATATTGGGTACTTTTTAGGTGCTTTATGGCTTGAATAAATCCTTAAGTGGAACGTATCAAAATGAACAGTCGTTTGATTTCCCCCGTAAGTATATGTTTAATATAAAGTAATAATATATACGTTCCTGGAGAAAATGTTCGAAGAGGAGTTGAAATAAACGTTTATAATTGCAGAAACTAGAGGACAAACTGCACTGAGTCCTACTGCGATCTGTGCCTCTATTGTTGGCACAAATAGTCATTCGTTGCAATTAATGAAAGCTTCTTTTTTTGGGACAGACGACGATGATTTCAATGGAGGTAGTGCAATACATTTTTTTTCATGCGGTACTGAACTTCAAAAATTGCTATTGATAACTTCAATGTATTTTATTTCAGTTCAAGATCATTTGCAAGCAACCTATAACAAGCGATACCTAAAACCGATGGAGTTATTTAACCAAGACCGAATGATTATGGATCACACGAGCAGTATCCCTCTGCTGCGTTCCAACTTGACAATTCATCACGACAGCATGTCTGCATATAACTCTTCGGTCCCTATAGAAAAAGGTACTTGCATAAATTAATATTATAAGACAAAAATTGTACTTTCTCAATATTTCTGGTATTATTTTTGCCGTACTATATTTTCAGACGAAAAAGTCGCACAATTAATGGATGTCTCATTCTACGATCCTCATGCCAAAAGCAAATTTTCAGTTCCCGTAACTACACCGGCGACCGTTGTCCTCAAGTCTAGATCCGATGTAGTTTTGCTTCAAGACTCTATTATGAATAAATTACAATTTCGCAGTGCGGCTGAAATCGGTAAGTAATTATTGCATGCTCTATTACCATTTTTAATATGAAATTAGTTAATTATTATCTTCAAAATATATACTTATTCTTTTATACACATTTTATTTTGCATCTAGGGATTCAAAGAGGCGGGTCTTTTAAAGCAAGCTGGGGCCCTGGACTGACACTCGTTTGTTTGAGCACAGAAGGACAAGCCGCTACAGTACCATTACTTTCACCATTTAGTCAACTAGACTCGTACATCTCTGGACGAACAGTTGACGATAAAACGCCAACAAATATAATTCAGCGTTTACAATTCTTGGGAGGTGAAGACTCCGACTGCGAGTACGTGCAAAGATTCAAGGTAATTCAACATGTAATCCGTTTATATTCAATTTATTTATCTCTATTTAGTATCGTGTTTTATTTCGTTAGAATATTTATATTATTACTACTGTTCTAGGATACCATTGAAGGTCATCTACGCATTCAACTCAATCATATGACTTCAAAAACACCGATAATTTCCGCTTTGCACGAGCATTGCGAGGTGGCTCAAGATCTTGCTGATCAATTTGAATTTAACGATCTGTTACGATATTGCAAAGATGTTTGGAAACTTTGTGTCGCACTTTGGGGAAATGTATCCGATGTACAACTATCCTCAGGTAACATGAGCGATAATCAATTGACATTCTTAATACTGTGTTATTACATATGAGTATTTATTATGACTTTTGGTATAAACGAAATAATAGTATTACGTTTAATTTTAGATCAAACTGATCATGATACTGTTATGAAACGACGAGAAGCTTTCAGCGAATGGCTTATGGAAACTGTCGATGAAACCGTAAAGAATGAAATTGCTGACTTTAAAGGACATGATGAAGAAATGCTGTCATTGCTTTCTGGTGCGTATGATCATATTTGATTTTCTTACTTTTACCCTCGTATACAAAATTTGTAGTGTAATACAAAAAATCATGAGGAGTATGTAACTTTTATTTTTGCAGCTTATAAATTGGACGAAGCGTGTGCATTAGCCAGAAAAGCAGGGGACCATTGTTTGGCGTTGCTTATATCTCAACTTGGGAGTTCATCACCTGTTAAGTCGTTGATAGAGCGACAACTCACTTTGTGGCAAGATGCCGGAATAGATGAGGACATCCTCCTTTCTCGACTGAAATTATTCATGCTGATAGCAGGCAAACCGGTGCTGGCTAGTAAACAAGGAGTAGTCAACATCTGCCAAGACTTGGATTGGAAAAGAGCAGTGGCCTTACACCTATGGTAATCAGAGATTCACCCGCTTAGCTTTCCATCGGAAGTTTAACCGGAAGAACTTGTTTAAGATAACAGTTCTCAATTAATGATAGAAAAAAAATGTATAAAAATGTAAGCAATATTACAGTATGAAGATACAGATTTATAATAATGTTTTTAGGTATTTATGTTCTTGCACTGCATCGATTACGGACGCTTTGGATATGTACGAGACAACGCTTGATGATACTTCCAAACACGGATGCGTACCAAATCCTTATCCCGAGTACAAAGGAGAAAATTACGAGCCCGAAAGTGGGAAGCCCATTTACGACCTATGCTTCCATCTTTTGAAATTATACTGCTTCGGTAGCCATTCCTTGGAGGAATTGTTGAATCCAGTCACTCACACCGCTGATCCTCTTGATTACAGGCTTAGGTAAAAGCGTATATTTTTTAAAACAATAGTTAAATATTATTTGAAATACTCTTACCTACTTTTAGTGAACATTGTCTAATGATATGTGTGTATGGTTTTAGTTGGTTCCTACGACAGGTTCTCGTTGGAATTGGTTACAGTCATATTTCTTCCCGAGCTGATGATTTGATAAATTTAAATTTTGCGGCCCAATTGGAAGCCTGTGACATGTGGCATTGGGCCATCTTTGTCTTACATGTACATGGATCTGGGAAATACCACGACTCCGTTCTCGACTTACTACATCGTCACATCGAATTACGAGAAGATGAAGAATATCTGCATCGAGAGGAATTTTTGAGGAAAGAACTGGGAGTACCGGTTTCCTGGATAAACGAGGCCAAAGCCATGAAAGCATGTATCGCCAAAAGGTACCCCTTCCTTTTTACGCGTGCAAATAATTAAACCAAACAAGATTTAACAAGATTTGATTTTCTCCAGGTATGGAGAAGCTGCTTGGTATCTATTAAAATCTGGAAAGTGGAACGAAGCTCATAAAATTATCATGACACACTTGGCTGCGGATGCAATAATAAATGGTAAGAAATAGTCATTTTATTTAGAAAAACTCACAGATCCTGGATTTTTAATTTAATATATGACCACAATTTGCAGAGAATTATGAGTACCTAAAATCATTGTTATCGTCATTGGCATTGATTGAACATTGCGGAACAGTCAGTGACTGGCCAAATCAGGGCGAATTACTTTGGGATTACATGGGAATCAATAGTGAAATTGAATCTCTGATGAAAAATTATGACAACTCTTCGATTTGCTGCAAATTGGAGACTCTGCAGCCACGTTTGATTTATATTTGCAGTAAAATCAGTGAATTTCCGTGTCCCACTGCGAAGCACAGGTATATTGTTTGACCTCTATTCAATTCTGATGCAGTTACCTACATTAATGCTCTGGCATTCAGACAATAGCAATACTTCAAATAATTTCGTAAATACGAGTACAAATCACCTTTGTTACTTATTTATTTGTCTCATTCTAGATTGTGCCAAGCAGAAATTGCAAAGAGGACTCTACATCTTGTTAAAAGTCTGTCATTGCTTTTAAGTAAGGACGGCAAATACACAGCAAAAACATTACTTTGTTTAGTAGCGCAATTACCATTACCTGAAGACTACACACAACAGGAACTTCGGCCACTTCTTAATATTTGTGTCAGCGAATACGTTCACTAATATCATAAAGATCCGAATTGTGATTGTACACGACTTCTAGTGCTCGGAGTACACTTATATCGTAAAAAACGGCGAGTACACTGTAGTGTCGCAATTATATCTTTAGCACAATTTTTGTAATTACGTTTTAATTCCATTAACGAGATCAACTTGTCCGAATTTCCGTTTCTTTCGTTGTATAATCGTTGAGATAGGCTACAAGATTTTATATTGCATTCCTATAAAGGTTTATATATATCTTTATCGTCAAATCATAGCTGTTATTTATACAAAATTTGAAAATAAAAAATTTTGATGATACCTATGAGTATACAAGAATTTTTTATTTCAGCCATACATGGAAACAGGACCTGATTGGTTTGTATAAAATATTCAATCGGAATGTTACAGTGAGTAAACGCAACTTGAAAACATTGGGGGTGCACCTCCTTTAAATAAATCTAATTATTCTGATTGAACACATCACCATTAATTGCGAGTTTCCTGGCTAAATTTTGTAATTACAACTTAAACATCGAGAAACTGACATCAGGCTGAGCAGTCCCAGCATCATTGAGGAAACACACACAGTTGCCAGGGTATCCCTGTTGTAATTTAAGCACAGCTCCCTGTCTTCGCATCTCCTGCAATTTTCGTATTATCTTTTACATTTTTTAAAGAATATACTATGCAAATATTTGTACACAAATTTTCTAATATCTTACGCTTTTTCGATTAGAACGACCGCCAAACCAGTTACGACTTTGTCTAAAAAGGTAACGCACGAATAAACCAGAGCACTCTTTTCCGTTCTGAGTCCAATTAAATCTGCCGTTATACTCAAGGAAGTAATCATTGTAATAGAACTTCCGGCGCCAATTAGGATGGCTGCACTGTATAAAGCAATGGCATTGCCTCCTGCAAATTCAACCACAAAGGAGGACAACACTCCAACAAGAGCACCAAGTAAATAGCAAACCTGTGAAAAGAAATCATTCGTAAAGTAACAGTTTCATGGCATTACATCCGTTTTTATCAATTTACCCTTGTTCCGCAAGACCTGGTGATGTACTTCAAGAATAGAGCCGCAGCGAAGGAAGACACATGTGCAACCAAAGGTACAGTAGCCAAAGCCTGTTTTCCACCAACATTTATATCCTCAATATAAAGAGGTAAATAAATGGTTGCCAGAGTGATGAACAATCTGCTAGCTACGTAGAGCATAGCAACTTTCAGTAACAAAGTAATGGTGGACCATGGCAGTTCCTGGGGAACGGAATTTTCAATACGTATTTCGGACAGATCCGCCTTGGATGGATCTTCGAGCAAATGCGACTTCAGGAATATGTGGAAGAAGATTGTTGCAACTACACCAATGACTGTTATCATCAGTGCAATATTCTGAGAAGAATTTAGACGTTACTTTAATATTATATTTATAGTTAAGTTCGTGTTAGTATTTTTGTCACATTTTTCTGCCCAATATTTTTCTCGCGAAAAAATGACTTTCAATTACTTTTCAGTGCACTGAATCAATCGACATACTCTAAACTTGTTGGCATCTTGTTCAGTAACTTGCAAGAGAGATTCATCATTAGCTGGAAGTACAATCCATGTAATGATGAAAACAGTGACAGCAGCTCCAACTTGTGCTGAGTATCTGGTGAATTTGACTTGATAAATTAAGGGGTAGAATTTCACGTCAAATACACTTCTTACTGGAGAGATGGTTTACCTTATGGCAGTTAATTCTGTTCGTATCAATGGTGATTTTGATAGAATTGGAATCACGGAGAGATGGGATATTTGGACAGCTGGCCAACCAGTTTGGAACACTGTGATACTTGCAACATAAACCACTTTAGCGATTGGACTTCTTGTGTCTACAAAAGTTCCAAAAATCACTGGAAATGAAAAGGTCACCATTATGGAGCCAATTAAATGCCACTTCTTTTTGTCATAATATCTATCAACGAGGAATCCAAATACTGGGGTGGCCAAGGCATCCACAATTTGACCTAAAAAAACATTGTTAAGTAATAATGACACTTAAAAAACAAATAGAAATGCATACATAATGTTTTAACTAATCATTACATATGAAAAGCTGACTGACCAACTGAATTGACAAGTTGTGGATTAATTCAAAACAAGTGAAAAGAAAAAAATATTCAATAAATAACAGGAACACATACCCAGAAACAATAATGCGCCAGCTGTAATTGGTTGAAAAAGTGCAATTCTTTGGAGATAAAGAAGAGTGTAGGAAAACCACATTGCCGCTGCGAGATCATTGAAAATATGTCCCAAAGCATATGCAGCTTTCGTCGAGAAAGGCACTTTTGGCCTAATAAGGCCAATAATTTCTTCATTGTAATCCATGTTTATAGTTTCTTTTAAATTTTACAATTAGTAAACTGCAGCAAACTGGTATAATTAACACTCATCAGCAGAAATTTTACAGGAAGTCGATTTTATCTAGAAATTTTACCTAAACTACAAAAAAGCATTCCATTGAATGTCAGACACAAATTCAATCACTTTAAAAATATCGATAAACGCTAACACTGTTTTATAAAATCAAGTAACTAATTAGAAAGTTTCTTGTTTCAATGGAGTACACTTCACCATGATTGATCCCCGGTTTTAATTACATCGAAATTAGATAAAAATCAAGTAACTAGATGTAAATTTTAAATTTTATTCTCCACAGGACACCAAATAAACATGTTTCACACTCAAATAAATGCAGGTGTAAGACTGATCGGTGTACCTGATTGTAAGACACGAATTCTTTGACGTATCAATGGCTACTACCTCAAGCAAGAATGATAAAGCTTAATTGAAGATATTGATAAGATAATTAATGTGATCGTCCAACCGGAACATTTTATAATCACGATTCGTCGTGCAATTACTCGAGGCCGTTATCGATAGTGCGAAGTTGTTCCACTCCTGCTGTAAACGCCCACATCTATGACTTTTAAATTACGATTTACCTTAACACAGTTCTTAGACGTTTCTTCACTTACTCTTAGAACATTTAACGCAATAAATTCACGATATTATCCAAAATGCGATTGTAACTTTTTTGTGAAAAAAAATTTCTTTCATATACGTCAGTCGCTGTCGATCTCTAGAAACGCGTCTACGTACCGGCATCGGTATTAATTAATATTTTACCAAGAAATCAAGGTAATTTTGGGGAAACAATTGCCAATTGATAAATGATTCACCAAGTCCGTCATCCTTAAGGAGTAAAGTCACACAGAACATAATCCAGCAGAAACTGAGTTGGCCGAGAGGCGGTGCGGCTGCAGGCTTTTCTCTTCATGGATAACACATACATTCATACAAGTTCTTTCCCGGATATTACATAGTGGTAGTATGTACAGCACTCTTCTTTAGGTAACCTGAGATCGTCAGGTGAAATCCGAGTAGCCACTGGTATGACAAGGCTCCATAAAGAGGGGAAGAAATCGATACCAGAGAATTCTTCTAAGGCCTCATCCAAAGAGATCAAAAATTATTCCTGCAGGATCACTGACTTCAATGTTATGCACTCAGCTGTAATATATTAATAAATAATAATAGTGAGTCTACCGATTAATTGGAATCTGAACTGTATTACGAAGCATTTCGTTAATACCACTTTTGGATTCCTTGGGCTCGGAATTATGTAACCCTCAGGGGAAGTGAAAGTCTTGCTCTACCAATTGGCCTCGATATGTTGCACTTGTTCATTGGGTTCGATGCACATCTCGAATTAAAATTCCTAGTCCAAATACAGCAGTATTACGTAATGCGATTGAAATAATGGCAATCAAGGGGATATTTCCAAGGTAGCAGCATTGTTTGTCACAGGGATTTAAACCGCAGAGGAGCTGGAATAAGACTAAAGAAGGTTTAGATTAGTGATAGGCTTTATTCATATGAAAGTTGAAGGTACTACGAATAGTTGTTTTCAAACTTATACTGAAACATCTCAAAATTTGAACTCGTCATCCAAAAATAATTAAAGACGTAACATGAGATGTTACATATTAGTTTGAATCTTAAATTATTTTGTTTAAAATATGTGAAAAAGCATGAACAATTAACGTGATTAAATAAATCTGAACAAACTGAAAAAACAATTAACACTAAGTTAGGTCGACAGAGTAGTCATAACTTTAGTATGTATATAAATATTCAGTTCTGTAGCAATTCATAAAAAAATGACTACTTAAAACAAACGTAGATCTTATTAAAGAAGCATAATAATTTATTTGAAAAAAGCCTTCACAGTAGCTTTCAATCGTTCTTCCACGAAGACATCCTCAAGCTCATTTACGACTTCCCGGAGAGATTCCTGTTTTTTATCAAGATCAGGTATCGTATCCTCGACGCGTTTACTGAAATTAAAAGAAGCAAAACATCAAATAAGATACAAAAAGTTGACACTTGCAGTAGTCGTCAAGTCAAACTTACAGTTCAGCAGATATGTATTCTACGCGCTTAGCAACATTTTGCTTTGCTTCGTTCAAATCTTGCTTTATTAAAACAGGTCCTATTAGTTTAAATACTTCACTCTCTGGCGACAAAAGATCAAGCTCTTCCTTCACGACCACATTTTCGTTAAGCTGACCGTCTAATTGCTGTCGTTGAGCAAGTGCTTTGTGATAATCTAGTATAAATCATGTACATTAATACAGATTAATATAACATGTTAATATATTTAAAGTATACCTCTTTGCACAATCTTCAATTTGTCTATTTCTGCCTTTAACTTTTTCACCACTTCTTCTAACATTTTCAATGAATGATGTATAAAATATACAAAATAAGGTGAAAGTCTCTACTTCGCTGTATTAACGACAATCAATTCAGCCGAAACCAACCGAAACAAGAAAGAAGAGTGAAGCAGAGAGTAGCAGCAGAGATCAGAGATGAGTTGGGAGATTGCTTACGGGCAGGATGGTGCGATCGCAACCGGTGCTGCCGTCTGGTTTCGAACGTTAGCTTTCACCGTTTTTTGCCCCCAAGGGCGGCGCAACGAATTTCTGATAGGAGCTCGCGCACTCGCGATGGTGGTACCATCTACCAATCGCCGTTGGCGGCTCCCGCACGCACACGCGCGCG